GTTTTCACCAGTTGCCACAATAATATTTGCTGTGGTAGGACAAAATTGTTAACAAAATTAATACCATAATAATAACAAAACAACAATATTATCCAAAAATACATGTATATTTCTACGCTGGGAATGCCGAAGTCAACTATATTTCATCAAAGGTAAATCAAAGTTATTTCATGTTTTAACAACAATACCGCATTGTAAGCGGATTGCCGTAGGCGACGATTCAGTCATATTTTGCATTTGCTAGTGTGTATTTCGAGCGTTTTAAAATAAATTTATTTATTTTATTTAAAATTATAAGTTATAATGTTCTACACATTGCAAGAGAAAATTGTTTAGTGAGCAATTCTCTACGTCAAACAAGAGACCTATTCTCAGTTAAATATCCGGATCGTTCTATTCCGTCAATTAGAACAATAACAAACGTTTTTAATTAATTTATTTACATTTATTTTAAAGTTTGATTTTTAGTTTTGTTTTAAGAGAATTGATTTATTTATGTTAATTTGTTTTCAAGAAAATTATTTTATTTTTTTATTTGTTTTTAAAGAGAATTTTTTTATGCTTAAAGGTTTATTTTATAAGAAAACACTTTAAGTTAAATGCAAAACAAATAATGATTTTACCTTTAATTAACAATTTACTGTTAAAAGTGATTACGTTACATTTTTAAAAGTAAATTAACTTAATAATGCGTAGTTCGTACTAATAATATCACCCATCGCCGGTGAAGGATCTACTACTGAATTACAAAAACCGTCTCTCGGGCCGATTGTCGGCGTCTCCCACTCTTAAACACCAAATGAGACCTGTCTACAAAATAAATTTGGCCAAAAATCTAGGGCCAAAATTATTCTCAAAGGCATATTTTATTATTAGTTTGTTTGTATTATTAGGAATTTGACGTCAAAAATTAGGGGATTTAGTTGGCAAATACTAGGGACTAATTTTATAATTAGCTTAATTAAATAAAACCACAATCCACACAACAAGGTCTGTTCTATCTCATACTAAAAATACTAAAAATCACTGCAACACTGTACAGAGTTTAACGGCGGCCATTTTTGTTGTTTACAATTTTTGTGATTTGGGTTTGTGCTCTGTTTATACAGATTAATAATCGTTTAAACGTTGTGTTTCTTACAGAGGGACTCGTTAGCCTTAAAAGAGGCCTTAATGTGCTAAGAACAAACATTTTACTTATCTTGTAAAGAATAATAGTATATTCTGTAACAAGTTTGGAATACAGCATATTCCGGTCGAGTGAAGAGTTTGTCACACGAGCCGAAGGCGAGTTTGACGGTTTCACGAGAGCGGAATATGCAATTTCAAACGTGTTTCAGACTATACTTTTTCTACGTTTCCAAAAAATATCATAGAAAAATAATTTAATTGGAAGAAAGTGAGGTTTGATCGGTCTAAAATTTGTTAGATATTAAAAACAGAGATGTCGCCACGAGTGGTTATTCTGTAATCAGATAATAGAATATTTCATTCTGTAGCACTTTACGGAATATATGTCATTCCATAGACAAAAGTGATATTAGAACGGTCAAATTCCGTAATAGGAGTAGAAAAACCTTATTCTATCAGGGCTGTCATTAAACTGTCAAATTTCAATTTAAAGGTTAATTTATAACCCACAAATTAACCCTCAAATTGACATTTGACAGCCCTGTTAAAACAATTATTATACAGCACAAACCCAAAGCACAATAATTGTAAACAACAAAAATGGCCGCCCTTAAACTCTGTGCAGTGTTGCAGTGATTTTTAGTATTTTTAGCATGTTGTGTGGATTGTGAGTAACAAACTAATTTAGTGGAGAATATAATTGTGGTTAGGTTATATGTTTATAAATTTTGAAATGTCAAATATAAGTTATTAAAAATGTATTAACTTTACCTTTGATGAAATATAGGTGACTTTACAGCCCTAAAGAGGCAAATTTGCATTTCCAGCGTACAAATCATGGACACTGTGTAATATATTTAATATTTTTTGTAACTTGGGTCTTTTCTAATTTTAAGCGTTGAAGATCTTCCAAGTACTCAAGTCCAGGGTGGATTATTCGGAACAAATGAAGATTCGTCAACCGGCATGTTTAGGTACAATTCATCACCCATCAATCTGGCCTTGGACATAAATTATGTGTACCTAGGACTTCTCAAGGGTACGATGTCAATAGTAAGATAAGGATAAACAAATTTGGCAATTCCCCATCTTCTGCATTTGGCAATGTAAGATAGTGCCATTAATAATCTTCTGTTTTCCAGGATAATACCGGATTCTACGTGTAGACTATGCATAGGTGTTGTTGGGAAAGCTCCTATAGCATATCGTATTCCCGCATTGTGTATTGTGGTTGTAATGTGGACTTTGGAGCGAACCCATATACAACGGACCTGTAATCCAGTTTAGAGATAACCAGTGATTTGAACAAGGTAAGTAAAGAATCTCTATGTGCTCCATATTTAGTATGGGCAAGACACTTAATCAAATTAAGGGTCAAAAACCCTTTAAATAGTCCATTTGCTTTTTCCAGGAGAGACGTTCATCCCAAATGAGCCCAAGGTATTTTAATTATTCCACACAATGTAAGGGATTTCCCATCAGAGTTAGGTATGGATGGTAATGGGGGGGTCCTTAAATGAGGAGCATCCGTGCAAAACCGGCTATATCCACTTTAATAAAATGTTGGGAAAATGGCAAAAACTCTCGGTTTCCTGGCCTTTACAGAAGCAAACTTGAGTTTTGTGGGCTTTGTGGTACTTGATTTATAAGACATACTTTCGTTTTCAAAAACTTTATATTAAGGCCAAAATTTCAAAAAATGTTTTGTATATAGCCGGTTTTGCTCAAAAACCGAATAAAATGTGAAAAAAAAAACCTTTTTTTTCAAGCGGCCATGATATACAACGTTATATGCATGTATAGAGATAGTTGAAGTACGTCTTTTTCATTAGCGGCAGACAAAAAACTCAAAAAAGCCTAGGGATAGAAGTAAATCCATAGGTGACTCAATAGACTTCAAATAATAAAATTAATTTAGCATTTCATACAAAGCAATCACGATGTATTAATTATATTAATTATAATCGCACGGAATATTTAGTGATTATTTATTAAATTTTAATTGAACGAAATAAAGAACTAGTTTATTAGTATAATATAATGATGATAGACGAATCTAATAATCTAATTAATAAAATTTGCTTATTATTTTTATTAAACAACATTTTATGAAGGGGTCCAATCGACATCCGCGAAAGTGCTTCTTAAATATTATTTAGTTGCTGCTGAGGAGCAGTAGACACATCTTAAAATGTATAATGGGTTGCATACAATACTTGTATTAAATCGGCAGTAAAGTTCTACTTTACTGCCGATTTCTTTTACTTTACTGCCGATTTCGGATAAAAATAATTTTTTAACCATTTTCCGATGCAATAAAATTGAAAGTAAAAGTTTAATTTAAGCCTGGTTCTAACGGAAAAGTAATTTAATTTAAAATGTAATTTAATTTAACCCTTTCGGAGCCAAATTTAAATTACTGAAAAAAATATTTTTTTTTTCGTTATAGTTGCATTCATTGGTATTATTTTCAGATATTTTTGAAAAAAAAAAAATGTTTCATTATTTTTTTTCATAATATGACATGTCCACTGGAATGGACAAAGTTACTTTAGAGAGGTCAAGTAATTATACGGTCATCTACTGTGTTTTATGTCTAGTCCACTATAATGGACAACATGTTTTTGAGACAAAATATTTATTATTTAAATATAAATGGTGTTAAAAAAAATGTCCACTCCAGTGGACATAGCGTACGAAAGGGTTAACTTAAAAGTTAAAAACCCAAGAATCCTTTGTAACGTTCATACAGTGGTGTAATTTAAGACTTAATTTAATAGTTGGCCAACTTTTATCTTTTAAATTAAGTTACGTTATTTCAAGGTTATTTCGTACTAACCTAACCTATTTTCGGAGAATCTAACCTATTTTGTGTAATCGGTTTTAATCACAGACCTACAAACAAAATGGACTGGCCTTTCCTATATTCAAAATACACAATGTTTTGTTGCCAAGAACTATTTAGATTAGGGGTAAAGGGGTAAGGGGTATTTATAAACAAGTTCCCACACCAGTGGCGTTCTGTTTTTAGGGATAAATAAAAATATTAAATTGTACATTTTTTATTGTGTTTTGCAATCCTATGTAAAAATTATATTTAATATATATAAATATATAGGTATAACAAAATACTAACCTTGTCAGTTAGTGTTCCAGATGATGTAGAATCTGGCTCTTTAAATCTAAAATTTAAGTGAATTCATTTATTTATTCTACGCTCCTGGCAGGGTTTGTTTTGTAAATAAACTAACCTATGAAAAGAAAAATTTAAATTCTTGGATCCAAGTCTTTTACAAACGTATCACTGCTTCACCACTCACTATTGGTATTTTTCACTATAAAATCAAATAAAAAATATTAAATGTTGTGGATTCCAAGTATCTTTTACGTAAAATATAGAAACTTCAAAGTCAAATGTGACAACTGAGGGAAAATATTTATTTTTGTTCCTGGCCACTCTTTTCAATGTAAATAAACCGGTCCATCTTGTTTGTAGGTCTGTGGTTTTAATAATAAGAAAAATATTTCGATTGTAATTACCAAAGTAAGCCATATATCTAATACTTTTAGATACATGAAGTAAGCACTCTCTTTGAAATATTGTTTTTAATTTCAAACACTATTAAATTACGTTACTTTTTGTATAAACGCAAGTAAATTAAATTAAATTACTTTTAAAGTTAAATTAAATTATATTACGTTATTTCTCTGTTAGAATCCAGCTTTAATTCATTACTTTTGAAAAAGTAATTTACAAATAAAATCACTGAATTAATTTATACCGACCATGCTGAAAACCAAACCGACAAAGGCAGCAAATTCCAGGGATAAATTTAAATCAATCAATGTATATCAAAAACTTTTATTACCTTGTTCCGGAAATTCTCTTGTAGTTTTTTTCGGAGTACACGGCCAATACGCTGACGCCGGAACCAATGTTGACCAATAAAAAGGGATACGGTTTCGAAAAGTCGTAGTTAACTTTTGTGCATTTAGATTCGTCGGTGGGATTCGCCCAATAGTAGCACTCCGTCGGGCTGCGAGCGTCAATGTACTGCAAACCCTTCAACAGGGACTCGAACTCGTCAAACTTAGCCAATTTCATGTTAACTTCCTAAAAATTATTAAAAAAAATTAAACATTTTCGCACTGTCACTGAAATTTTTACTTTGAAATACCATAATTTTGTAAAGCAATATTTAGTATAATTAAGAAAAAGAAGTACACTCTCAGGGGGTTTTCTTAAAAATTGTAAATTGTAAGTTAGTGATAACTGTTACTAATTATTAAAAACAACTGCCTTTAATAAAACTAAATACCACCATTTTTTAATTATTGCGTAAATAAAAAACCGTATAAAACATTGTTAGTACTTACACGTTTAAAGTCCTCTTCGAATTTATAAGCGCCACCACCTGTTGCGCACACTGTCGAAACCAATTTAGCCATACCCTTGTATTTTGCCAAAACCAGAAAATTCTTCATTTCACTTGTGGGAAAACGAATGAAATGTAAGGTGCCCAATATTCCTCTTATCGACACATTATCCATCTAACAAAGATGATTGTAAATAATAAATAAGTTTGGTATTGCAATTACAAAAATTTTTGTTTAAAGGTGTTATGTAACATTTAAATTAAAAAAGAACTGATTGCAAATAAAAATAAATTTGGTATTGCAATATTGTGTGAAAAATACAACTTGACCCTTCAATTGTGGGCTTGCACATTTTTGTTCTTAAAACAAAGTTTGGACATTATTTTAGTCGAAATGTATTTTTTATTAATTTTTTGAGTTTTTCTACTCGCAAAGTAATACACACATTTGCGTGCACAAGGTTGTACTTTTTCGCACGCTTACTTGTGTGTTAGTACAGGAATAAGATTATTCAATCATGAAGCCTATAGGCTATATAAGCATTTTTTAATAAAAACAAAAAAATTGAAAATATAAAAATGTAAGAAGCAACCTTCTGCACGCTTGTAAAAAAATTGTTAAAGTTAAAAAGGGAATCTGATAAATAAAATTGCAAGATTTCCTTGCCTGTAGAAAAAATATTGTTATTAACACATGCTCAAAGTAATTTTTCCGCACAAAAAATTAAAAAAAATGCCTCTTTATTTCAAATACCCAAAACTTTTTTAAAAATTTACTAAATGGAACGTTTTTTCTTAATTTTTTTTATTTTGAATTTTCATTTCAGAAACAAATACAAACAAATTTTTCGTTGTCAATTCCATACATTTTTTCCGTTTTTTTTAGAAAAACCACCAATTTCACCATTTCTTACACCATTTTTAATTTATTTTAAATGAATCTAGCATAAAAAAACACTTTTTCCATAAAAAAAAAGAAAATGGCAAACTGAAAAATTGGTGTTTTTACTCAAAAAACTGAAAAATTTCATAGAACTTGAGATCAAAAAATTGTTTTGTATTTTTTTCTCAAAATTACATTAAAGAACTAAAAACGTCTCATTTAGTCAATTTTTAAAAAAAGTTATGGGTATTTGAAAAAAGAGCAAATTTTTTGAAAAATTCTTGGTTGGGTGGAAAAATTTGAAAAAATGGTGAGAATTTTTTTTAGTGGGGTAGAAAAACATAAAAAAAATCAGCCAAATCGAAAGGGGTACATTTGGTGTGGAATTTTCCATATACATACATATAATAGAGATAAAAAAATAATTATGTTTGAAATTTTAATTTTTGATAATTACTACTTAACATCTTATCGAATGGTGTCAATAAAATAAGAAATTTAGGGTGTGCTAGCGACCTTAGACAAGGGAAGAGTAACGCCTATTCTACACAGTATGTTTGAAAATCGAAAAGGCACAAAAAATGGCGAGGTGTTTTGTGTATTTTTGTGCGAAAACTACTACAAAATAAACAATAAAACAAAATCTGCTCGCACAAAATATTATTAAATACGCTAGTGTAAAGTCACTATTTGATGCAAATTTTGCACATTTCCAACGGAATTACGCCTCTCTTCCCCATTCTAAGCGCCTAAATTAACCGCGAAAGCAAATTGTTGGATTTTATTTAATGACTTCAATAGGTGTTTGCGTAATTATGTGAATGGTCAATAAAAAGCACAATTGTATTTAAGAACGAGATAACTAAGTAGGTACACTTTATTGATAAGTAGGTAACAATTAACTTTTAGAGATAAATACAAATAACATCTGTGACGACTATATTTCGCTGAGGGTGGTTTCGGACTGACTCTGCCTCGTAGTATATTTTAAAGTCAAGGGTACGAATGCCGTAAATGTTTCACTCGCTTGCCATGTGGTTTATTTCCTATTTTATAAACGTTGACTATTGTTGTTGCACAATATTCCAACACCCTTCCTCAACAATAATAATCCTATTTTTTGATTAAAAAAGATTGCACGCCTTTCGCATCGCTTCCAACTTCAGAGTGCTTAGCGGTTTTGTAAACATGTCGGCTAACATGTATTCTGTAGCACAATATTCAAAACACATTAAATTCTGTTTCTTTAGGTCCTTTAAAAAATGATATTTTGTATCAATGTGTTTCGTTCTGTTGCTGAATTTTGAATTACTTATGTATTTCAAACAACTTTGGTTATCTTCGTACATAATGGTAGCTTGATCCTGATTTTGACCGAAGTCTCCCAATAGTCGGCGGATCCAAACCCCTTCTTGACAAGCTTCTGCCAGCGCAATGTATTCAGCTTCCATTGTTGACAGGGCGATACAATTTTGTTTTTTGCATCCCCAACTTATTGGACTTCCATTAAATTTAAACAAATGCCCACTATTTGACTTTCTGTTTTCATTGCTTTGTGCCCAATCTGCGTCACTGTAACCATACAGGTGTTTATTTGGGTCATCCTTATTACCCAGTTTTAAAGTCAGTTCTTTAGTGCCTTTCAGGTACCGAGCGACCCTCTTTGCTTCCACCCAGTCGGGGTCGGTCGGTGATTTATTGTATTGGCTTAAAATACAAACACTTGCCGTAATGTCTGGCCTCGTATTTACAGATATGTAAAGCAATGCTCCAATTAATTGCTGATATTTTTCGCCATCCTTCATCGCTTCCTGTTCCTTAATCCTGGATTTATTGTACTGTGGGTCCAATGGATAATTCGAGGTTTTTGCGTCTTGTAACCCGAAACGAACTAATAATTTACATATATAGTGCGTTTGATTAATCCGATAAAAACCATCATCATCCTTGTTCACTTGTATCCCAAGATAGTGCTTTAGCTCCCCTAAATCCATCAGAGCAAAATGATTTTTAAAAAATTCTGCTGTCTGCTTTACTAGCCTTTTATCACTACTTGCAATTAAAAAATCATCTACGTAAACGACAATGTAAATGACTTTCCCTTCCTCGGTTTTAATATACAAGCATGGGTCTGCTTGACTTTGGTTGAATTGGTGGCCTTTTAAAACAATGTTCAATTCATCATTCCAGGCTTTTGCTGCCTGTTTTAACCCGTAAATGCTTTTGTTTAATTTACACACCATTTCTTCTTTGTCAGGCTCTAAATAACCTTCAGGTTGTCGCATAAAAATTGTTTCTTTAAGCACCCCGTTCAAAAAAGCTGTTTTTGCATCATAATGTGCAATAAAGAGTCCCTCTTTACCTGCTATGGTCAGTAGCAGCCGAAATGTCGTGTGCCTTACAACTGGGGCAAATATTTCGTCGTAATCAACTCCATATTTCTGGGAAAACCCTCGTGCCACTAACCTTGCCTTGTACTTATTTATGCTCCCTGCTGCGTCCCGCTTCGTTTTGAACACCCATTTACAACTGATTATGTCCCGACCTTCCGGCTTCTGTACAAGCTCCCAGGTATTATTTGACAATAACGAATTAATTTCTTCGTCCATTGCCGCCCCCCATTCCTTTGAATTTGGTCCAGAAAGTGCCTCCTTCCTGTTCTTTGGATCTTCGTTAAAACTAACCATCGTATACAGCTTTTCGTCTCCTGTATACCTGTGGGGTGGCACACCTTTATTCGACCTGTCGGATCTTCTTGGTTCTTCTTTGTCTTCATTCTTGTCTTCTATTTCCTGCAGGACTTCCACAGGTTCTTTAAAATTTTCCTGATTTTCTTGAACTGCATTTTCCAAATTTTGAAGACACGCCGTTGTTTTATTTTCCTTAGATCGTCTCCAATTCAACGTAATTTGAACTTTGTTACTTGGATCTTTACTTTTAATCGTTTTATTCTCTTTAAGTGGCTGTTTTACTTCTTGGTCATTGAGAAAAACGACATCCCGGCTTATCTTTATTTTATTGGTGTTTTTATCCAATAAACGATAACCCTTTGATTCTTCCGAGTATCCCACAAATAAAAATTCCACTGCCTTTTCATCCAATTTTCTTCGCAATTCTTTAGGAACATGAGCGTATGCTCTACAGCCAAAAACTCGCAGGTGGTCAACATTCGGTGCCTTTAAATGCCATAATTCGAATGGTGTTTTTTCTATACATTTTGATGGTAGCCTATTTTGCAAATAATTTGCGGTATTTATCGCTTCACCCCAATATTTCTTGTCCATGTCCGCGTCGTACAACATGCACCTTGCACTTTCCAAGAGTGAGCGATTTTTCCTTTCGGCCACACCGTTTTGCTCAGGTGTATAAGCAACCGTGTACTGAATCTGAATGCCCTCCATTTTCAGGTAATTTTTCAGTTCTTTGTTGACATATTCCTTTCCTCTATCCGACCGAATTATTTTTGGCTTTTTTCCCAAACTGGTTTTCATTTTTTCGACAAATTGCTTAATAAGTTCTGCCACTTCGGATTTTTGAGCCATTAAAAAAACTCTACAGTACCGGCTGTAGTCATCTATTATGGTCAAGGCGTACCGCTTTCCTCCAGGTGTCACCGTTTGCATGGGTCCGCAAACATCCGTATGAACAAGGTCTAAAATTTTGTTTGACCTGTTCTCCGACCTTTTTGGAAATGGTTTTCTTGCCATTTTTCCTTTAATGCAAACTTCACAAGTTTCCCGTATTCCGCAATCCGTAACTTTTATACCGGCCGCTAGTCCTTTGTTTTGTAAGTCTTTAATTGCTGCCACTTCGCGATGCCCGAAACGTCTATGCCACATGTGCTGACACTGTGTACTATGACCGCCCTTTATTGCTATACACGCTTTATTGTCTGCTTGCACCGGTACCGTTTGAAGCTCATAAAGTCCGGCTACCTGTTTGGCCGTTGCCCGCACTTTTTGTCCTTCCACAATATCGCACACGTTGTCCTTAAACAGCACTTTAAAACCTTTAGCTGTTAATTTCCGCACCGAAAGTAAATTAACTTCCAAGTTTGGCACAAACAAAACGTTGTCAATCTTTATATTAATGTCCTTATTGGCCCCATTGACAAACTTTACAACACCCGACCCGGTCCCTTTAATTTCAGCCTTTTGACCATTTGCTAGCCGTACATTTCCGTTCGTGTTTCGATGAAATTCCTTAAAGAAATCCTTGTTATTAACCATATGACTTGTCGCCCCCGAGTCGATTACCCAAACGTCCTTTTGTTGTCTTATTTGCAGGCCAAAACAAACACTCACTTCATGACATAAATCTGTCTCCACATTTGTTTGTGTCATAAAACAGGTCTCATCCACTTGATTTTCAGAATAACCATCTGTAACTGCATTTGCCCTTTCTTTATTGCACTTCCAAGCTTGATATTTTCGACAAAACTTTTTGTAATGACCAGGTTCTTTACAAAAATAGCACTGCTTTTTCTTTACCAAGTTCGCCGAATTTCCTGAATGCCCGGGTTGCCCTTTATGATGATGAGAAGCCGACGCCCTCATTGCCGTGTCACTTTCTTCATCCCTTGTTTTTGATACACCTTTACGTCGACCATATTCGTCTAATAATTTTGCTTTCACTAGTTCCATTGTTAACTCCTTCTCATCCCTGCTTTCCAGTGCAGTAATTAGCGTGCCATAAGAATCCGGCAGACTACTTAATAGCATAGCAACAATTAACTGATTATTTAGCACCTCCCCCATGGCCGATAATTTATCCACCAACTCCATCATTAGGTTTATATGGAGTTCCATATTACCGCCTTCTTCTAGAGTTAATCTGCATATCCGCTTTAACAAGAAAACTTTGGTGGATAGCGATCCCTTCTGGTGGATGTCCCTTAATGAATTCCAAGCGTCGAGAGCATTTTTTGCTTGTCTAATGTGGATTAACTGGCTATCTTCGACAAGGAGTCCGATTGCTGCTCTAGCTTGATCATCCTTTCTAATCCAGGCTTCGTCTGGAACACCTGGCCTTGGCTCAGCGATCACGTCCCATATCCCCTCACTGATCAGCAAAAATTCGACCTTATACTTCCAAATTTGATAATTGGAACTGTTCAATTTCGCGATACCGTACAAAAAACGCGAACCGCCCGACATCTTCGAACCTTGATTGTTCTCTCACTTTTGCTGCAGCACACTATTTGTAAAAACTATATTCCTGTATTGTCTTTAAACTCCGAACTCACTCACATAGATTAACTGGGCCCATAACCTGTTGGATTTTATTTAATGACTTCAATAGGTGTTTGCGTAATTATGTGAATGGTCAATAAAAAGCACAATTGTATTTAAGAACGAGATAACTAAGTAGGTACACTTTATTGATAAGTAGGTAACAAATAACTTTTAGAGATAAATACAAATAACATCTGTGACGACTATATTTCGCTGAGGGTGGTTTCGGACTGACTCTGCCTCGTAGTATATTTTAAAGTCAAGGGTACGAATGCCGTAAATGTTTCACTCGCTTGCCATGTGGTTTATTTCCTATTTTATAAACGTTGACTATTGTTGTTGCACAATATTCCAACACAAATATTTTTAAATTTAAATGAATTTCAAATAATTATTGCACAGTGAATTTAACCATAAATTATAACTGTTATTATAATTATGCTATTTTAACTTTAAGTTTGTTTTTGATTACAAAAATGTCTTTGTTTATAAATACAAATCGCCAAATTAGAATGATAGTGACATTTATTGAAATACCGTTGAACTGCAAACATCAAGTTTGAAATGAAAAATTAAGTTAATTAAGTATCAGTATCTATATATACCTGAAGGTGTATGTCTCGGTGTCCAGTGCTGCCGTAGGCGGAATTTTTGGTCAAATACCTCCTAATGTTGCGTAGGGTCTGTTCGACCTCCGCGTCGTTTTTGTTTTTCGATATGTCCTTCGGTTCAAAGTAAACCAGCTTGCAAAGGGTGCCTCCGATGTCCATGCCGAACCAAGGCATGCCTATAACAGACATGACTGCACAGGTGAAAAAAAGATTGCTAGCTTTAATCACGGTATAATAAAAACAATACATCAAAATACAAATCACGTCACCTTGTGATCACGATAGATTTGCATAATTTAAAAAAAGTTAATAAGGTAACTGCCGAATATTTTAGACATCTTTACTTGTGACAAAACAAGTTGATCACAAGGTGGCGTCATAAACAGAGCTTTAATAATTAAATTAATTTATAGAGGAGTTAAACTGTGACTTTTGGTGTTAGAGCCGCTACACGCTACAAGTCCGGAATGAAACAAAAAGGCAACTTTGATGTATGTATGCACAACAGCCGCAAACGTTGACGGGACCAATAGGAAAGCGTTAAACCTAACCATACATTTTAAATTGACACTTGATCGTTATAAATAAAAAGATTTTATAAAATATTGGACTTTATTTCGTACTTTAAACTAATAAGTTGCTTAAGCAATTAACAAAAATAAATTCAGTTACTCTTGAAACAAAAATGTTTATTTCTTGTGCATACCCTTTCCAATCCTGTCCCGCTTACCGGTCTGTTGTGCACTACTGTACTATGCTTACTTTAACCCCAAGAATTTGATAAACGAAGTAATGAAATAAATAAAATGGATATTGGACCGTGATAATGTAGAAGACTCTCCTCCTACACTATTAATTAAATTGCTTTTTTTACTTGATAGTAATGTAAAAAAAATATTAAACATACGATCTACGTAATTACATTATCAGAAATAAGTAAAAATAGTTGTATAACATTATACTTGTACTTTTTAAATAAAGATAGATATAAAAACTTAAAAGGAAAGTGCACTTTTTAAATAAACTATATTTGAACTTTTCCCATCCATTTAAACATTTTAAATGTTCTTTACAACTTTAACACAAAGTTTTAATATTAGGTGCTTTCCTTTCATTTTTGAAGTGAGCCAAGCTTAAGTGAGATAAGCGAGGCCACTTACGCGCACTCATCTTACCTAAAATAGACCAAAGGAACGGTTGGTAAGCCTATTTTCTCTAAAAGTGACACTTGACAGTTTAACCCTTAAGCCTGAATTATAGATTGCCTTCCTTCCTTCCTCCCGTAGTCGTGCCCGTACGGTACGGGAATCTATAACTGGCAATACGATTTAAATAAACATTTTTGACGTAATTGTCACCATTAACATTGCCCGTTATTAATTTTAATTAAACTTAACAATTATTGATAATTTAAAATATTAAAATTACTTAAAAATATGATTTTGTTAATATAAGAAAATATTTTATTTTTTGATTTTTTTTATTACTATAATTGCAAAATTTTATCACAAAGTATTAAAAATACCTAAACGGGAAATGTTAATGGTGACAATTACGTAATGTTCATCTTATACGGGAGGAAGAAAGGAAGGAAGGAAGGCAATCTATAATTCAGGCTTTATGTTCTGTGGTTTAACCATTTCCCTCAACGGTTTAACGCAAAGATTAAAGAATTAACGAACAAAATGTCGAATCAAATAATACAGGTAGTTAAAAATGTAAATCCAATTTGAACAATAATAAATACCTTTTTTTTTCTTTAATTTTATAGAATGTAGTGAATGTAATATTCAGCAGCGATTCTGAAAATACTAGTTTAATCGTATCGTATCATCGTAATCGTAAATTACTATTTGCATAGTCATACCTACAATTGTAGGTATTCTAGTCGCCGAATGAATCGTTCAATTTGAAATCCGACTGAAAATATGCGATTAATAATCGCGGATTACTTAATTCGAAAATAAACGGCGATTATAAATCGCATACTTTCATTCGAATTATCAATTCGATTAAATTATTCCGATATTGAAATCCGAATGAAAGTATGCGATTTATAATCGCCGATTATTTAATCGAATTATCATCCGATTATTGAAATAATCGTATCGGATATAATCGGTTATTGATATAATCCGATTATGCCCATCACTAATATTGTTTTAATTTTCTTCTGTTTTGTTTGATAGAAAGTGTACAACCTCACTTTTTGGCGTGCATCTATCCCCACCACCAAGTAATCAAAATTTCTCATTTGTAAGTGTGCTCCGGAGGTTGTGCTTGATCGGTAAGGGGGGAGGTAAAATTCTCACTTTGGCTTACCTGTCATTTTGCAAATGGAACGGTCTCTAAAGTGAGATAAACCAAGGTGAGGTAAGAATATCTAAGAATCGTGGCAAAAGGAAAGCACCTATTATTTTAAACATTTAAATATAATTTATTTGAATTTAAAAATGTATTATTGCTGTCAACAAAAAGTTGGGATTTTTTTGATACATGACAATCTTAGCTGCTTATTTGATTTTTTTCTGTAACAACTAGTTGTTATTAGATGGAATACTTCAGCTCTTATCAACAATAAAAAATTAAGAAGTAACCTTTGCTTTAAAATTCAAACTAAACTGTAAAAATGTCAGTGGCCTACATAAAATTATATTATACTTATATATTGTACCAAATGTTGCGTTTCCCACAACATCTTTTACTTTTTTTTTAGCTTAAGGTAGTTGTCGTGGTACAATATTGCCAATTTTTAGATTATAGGCACCGTAAAAGTATACGAGCTTGTAGCTAAGTGATTCATAATTTTTTCGCAAGACTGTACCCTTGGAGACGTTACCTTTACGTAATACTTTCAAATATTTTCATAAGTTTTAATCCGGCAACGCCGCTTATGCTCAACCAATAGATATATTGGAGACTGAATCAGTCTGTTTGAATTTACTGCGGAAATAATATCTATACTCGCGTTGCCAAGTTGTTTTTATCTGACACTAGTGATGTATACCATTTTTTACAAATTATTGAACTTTAAACGGTTATTTATAAACAATTGGACGGTCAAAAAATTTTAATTATTTTTTTTAAACTCAGCACAAATACATTAAAAGACTGTTAGTTTTTTGAAAGCTTCTGACAGTTAGTTTTTTTATAACTAAGAATCTGGTACAGAACTACAGAAAGCGTATACAATCCATGTTAATTATCCAATTTTTAATTGAATTTATCTCGGGTTATAGACGGTTAATCGACTTCAAATTTTAAGGATAACTGTATTGTCATGTCCTTAATAAGTATACAAAAATTTAAAATTTTCTGATGGTATGCTTACAGCACGACAACTACCTTAAGTAATATATTTTTTGTATTAATAAACAAATTAGTTAAACTTGGCAATTCAACAAAACTAATTAGAGACTATAAGAAAAACGGATATTTATTTAGTTTTAATATTGTTGTCGGATGTACTTTATACAGTTTGTCAAGATATATTTCACTTAACTAAACGAAATTCACCATTTTTGAAACACCTAGCATGACAAAACTAAAATCGGAGCATAAATTGGCCAAGTCGACCTTCACTGAATCTTAGTTTAATTATTAAGCTTCTTGCCTGTACTAAAATACTGCTACTGTACTTGACACAAATAAAAACATTAAATTAACTAAAAAAATATAAATAAAACCCAAGGATTTCGCATAAAATAGCAAATTAAAAATACATAATGGTTATCATTTGATAACAATGGTGGCGTGTTTTTTATACTGATTCATATTAATGTAACTTGTACGTAATACGTACTACGTACAGTGTTGGCCATAATTTTTGGAACCACTGTAAAAAAATTTAACTCTAAAACGCCTTTATTGTTCTTTATTAAATTTTTGATAAAAATACTTCAACTTATATCTCAGTTTACGTCAGTGCCGGCGTGAGGCATGTGCAAACGGTGCGGTTACACCCGGCCCCGCGTTTTATAGGCCCCGCGCGCATTAAGGCGTCTTAACGAAATTATTGTACATTTTAGCAACATGGCAAGCTGTAAGCACAGCGTGACAAAATAATATCTGGTCATTGCCAGAGATAATATCTTTAGTAGGTATCGTTATCTATTATCATTCAGTTCAATGTTCCTAAATGTGTATTTGAAGTTGCCTGTATCCGTTTAAAACAATTATTATTACGCCGGGAAGAGTTTTTCAAAATTAACATTAATAAAAAAATATTTAAGATCAAGAACGACTAGTGGGTTTGGCTATATTGTCAATAGAGAAGGATGTTGGAAAAGAGCTTCCGCTAAAGCAGGGAAAAATTATGTGTGATTTTTTCTTAAACGTTAATTTCTATATTAATTGAAGGGAAAAGCTGAACCACCCAAGTGCATTTTTAAGTCAAAATTTTCTACTATCCGGTAACACGCTTAAAAGTTATTTTTTGAACGTTTTTTCATTATTAAATAAAAGGGCTTTAAAAATATTTTCTAGAAAAACCCTCGAACACTTAAACTGAGATATAAGTATTTTTATCCAAAATTTCATTAAGAATAATAAAGGCGTTTTAGATTTAGATTTTTATTACAGTGATTGCAAAAATTATGGCCACTGTATACCTATACAAACAATTTATTTTTAAAATCTTATTCTTAGATGGTATTAGTCTAGACAAAGTTACTTAATACATTGTTTATAACATAACTAAATTAATATTATGAAAACACCGTACCATTTACTTGCATATTAAAAACAATAAACTGTTAATTCAAAAATTTAAACTAGACTGATGATTAAATTTTAAACAATTTGATAGCAATCTGATAGTTATAAAATAGATATTTTAATAAGTAATAGGCTCATGGAAAAAAGTATTAAGTTAACTTATTTTTATTTTACTGTATTTTTTAATTAATTTTGCGTTTAATCGGAAAAGGCATTTAAATTTTTACGTGTTCCTTCTTGTTTAAAGATGGTGTTTTGCTTTGACGTTTCTGTATTTTACGCAAAACAAAGGGCTTATCCTAACGTTATCGGCCGATATTTTTTTTTTTACAAAATTTGATATTTCTTTGGGCGACCTTTATTTTCACCAGGTTATTGCCACATTACTGGCGAGTAATTATTTGCAAGAAGTGGCCCTGGAAACGTTTTATTCAAAAACATTGGATTATCTGTTTGGGGTTTACACCTAATATTGAGCATTTTTTCCTCCAACCAAACTTTGGTTACCAAAATTGTTTTATACTTTCTTATTTCTTATTGATAAAACATTTAGTTATTTTAATAAATAAATCGTTTTAAAGGATAATAATTGTTTAATAACTTTAAATAAATTAAATTAATTAACACTACATAAATTTAAGCAATAAGTACCTACTTTTGCTCATGAGTGTATAAATATGTTTTCATAAAAACACCATTATCAATTCTGGATTATGCAGATAAACAACTTTATAATACAAATAATATCTGACGTTTAATAAATTATTATGTATTTAACTGGATATTTTATACCTGTTTTAAAACTAGTGTTGTTTATTTATCTAATATATTTTTCTATACAAATAAAAACAAATAAAAATAGAGTGATACCTGAAAATAATTTAGGCTTTTTTATAATATCCAATTATGTACATATTTTCTGAAAATGTACTTTGGAACAAGCATTTACGCGCGCCCCTGATAAAGTTGGATAAACAATGCTAAATATGTACTTGTGAATAAGGTACAAGTAATTTTATTTAAAATAGTTTACGCGTTTCAAATAAATCTATTATAAAAACAAACAAAAAAATAGGAATAAAAAGGGTTTCATTAACTTTTCTTTTCAAATAGTATCTTCTCCTCTTTTGTATTAGCACCTCTTTTAAGAATACCTGGTATAATATTTATCAGGTTGTCCATAATGTTAAGCTGTTTTGAACCAAAAAATATTTATCTTATCAATTTTTTAAAAATTATATTCAAGTAAACATGACAGTAACAATTTGGTGAATACGCAAAATATACAAGTTTATCAAATTTGAGGTTCAGATTTGTAGAGTGGCTCATATCTGGATAATGTCGGATAATGTTATTTGTATGAAACGATTTTCCACATTTTTTTATAAAAAAGATTTATTTTTTTGTATAATACGTTAATAACCGTTCAACATTAGGGATCAATACATTGGCACTGGCAAATATTTAAGCATAAGTAATCTAAACATAATGACTGAATTTGCACATTAAAAGTACCTATTAAATTATTCGTTTAAATTTAAGTTGTGGTCACTTGACAACTTAGTTGTAAGATTAGATTTTAAATAATAAAAATACTTAAAAATTAATTTTTATTGAGTACCTAATTCAGTAACTTAACTATTTGACTGTGCAAACAACACTAATCCGAAAGTTTGCGTTAAGATTGAAACCACTAGAAAAAAAATTGTAGGAATACCTAATAGTTTGGATCAAAAACAAAATTTTAAATAATTATAACTTTGTTTTTATTAACTTTTAATTTTTAAAATGTAATTAGAAAATTGTTTTGCCTTTTTTATTATTTTTAATACCTTAAATAAATAAAAAACTACTTGATAAACTATATAAAATGACGCACAACGATATGACACGCTGTAGGAGTCCTATTTATAAAAAAAACAAAAAAAAATCCCAAATGAGTTTTTTAAAATATTATTTTTGACATGTGCAAATTTAAAAAACAACTATGTTTAAAAAATTGAATTGTAGACATTGAATAAAGAAAATATAGTTAAAATATCACATTTTTAATTTATAACTCAAAACCTATAAGGAATTTTATAAATTTATAATTTAGAAATTTTTTGTTGTATTTTTTATTAGGTATACTTAAAATAAGCCCCTATGCATACAGGCATGTTGTACCATGGTTATTTTACTTATAATGTTATTTTTTTCTTGCTTTTTTATCTTTTTCTAACCATACTATTATTTTTTAAAGATTTTAATATAATAAATACATTAAAAAACTGTACACCTATCCTGAAAATAAAGCATTTTAAATAAATTATATTCTTTTACCTATAATACCTCATAGGTATAATAAATAACTTATTTGCAAAATAAACTTTATTTTAATAAAGTTGTTTTTATTTATGCTTAGCATGCATATATTTTGCAACTTACAACATTTTGTAAGTAAATTATTAATAGCATTTTTACATTTTTTTATATTTTTGGTGATGGGTTTTAAACTTACATGGATTATCGGTTATGCCATTTCCTTCGATTCCATTGACTTCCATTGGTATTCCTTTATTTTCACTGGACATCCTTGCAATAATATCCCTTAAACAGCCTTTACAACTGTGGGGTGCCATTGTTTTCAACCACTGCAAATAAAAGTGTGATTTTAAGTAAAGAATTCAACTACGCTTAAGTAGATGCTAAAGACTAAATGTAAACCAAATGCTACTGCATGCATGACGATGTGATATGATAATTTAGGTATACAGCATGCTTAACCTTGACCCTCCAAACATTTGTTCATTTCGACTTTTCTTACAAATTTTTATCTACTTTATCATGTAAATTAACTATTATATAAGTATTTTATAACTGTTAAGTATAACCTATTACCTTTATTACACATCTTGATGGAGTTTGATTCAAAGTAACAATTAACTACTTATGTGGCACACTAATTCCTTATCAAAAATACGCTATAATAACTTATTGGATAAATAAAGGCACTGTTTAAATAATAATTTAAAGAACTAGTTAACACAAATTCAGCAAATGACATACATAAAACCCATTATTCGCAGTAAATTTCTGAAATTGTCCTATGACGTGCATTATGATCCACACATCACTCGAGAAAGTTTTATTCTCATGAATAGTTAAAATAATTTCACCTGAAAAACCATTTCATTTGACAATCAAATACTGATTTTGTTTCTTCCAATTCTGACATTTAATTAATTTGCAACTTTTTTTAATTTAACGATAAAGTTGCAAAATGTAGTTATGAATTGTTATTACCTAATAGAACAATTGTAAAGTTTTTTATTAAATAATTAAACACCATTAGTCCAGTCCGAGTGTCTCCACGAATGACACTAGTGTACCCTTACGACTCGGAAGTTACGAGCATTTAATTTTAAATCATTTCTTAATCAATGCTATTATAAATAATTTTAATAAAATATTGTTATTTATTACCGTGAGCCTCACGGTAATAAATAACAATATTTTATTAAAATTATTTATAATAGCATTGATTAAGAAATAATTTAAAATTAAATGCTCGTAACCACGGCGTGAGCAGAGATAATATTATTTTTGCAAAGATAATAATTTTGACCGTTTTTGAACTGTTTACTTGTTCATAACCTAGAATTGTTGTAACCACAGAACATAACTTTAAGTTATAATATGTCATGACTTATTTAACTGTTAAATTTTAACAGCAGTAAAAAAAGTCTTTATTGGGTAAACCAAAGGGCTATCGACCTTGCCAGTATTTACGCGAAAAAACGACATTTATAAATTTTATTATTACAAAGTAAAAAATGATGGTAAAATTACGGATAAAAATATGTAATACCTAGAGTTGGGGATGGTCAATTGATCGCGGTCAATTGACCGCTACCTATTTGAGCGGTCAATTGACCGGTCAAAATATATTTAATTTTTGCAGCATTTTATTTAGGTATCAACAATTACCCGTGAACATGGTTGTGCATCTTTACTGTACAAAAGGTTGTCCGCTGGGAAGTTTTGACTACACTCGCCAGAGGCGCTAATGTCGCCAAAGTTGTTTTTGTCACCGAGACTACCGTTGTCTTAATGACAGTTTTTATAATAATTATAATTAGACATAAGCTTTTCAAAAATAACTTCATTTTGTAAACTTTTAAGTGTGTGTTAAATTTGTGAAGTCCTTATAACCTTTTAAGTTTATATTGTGTAACATATTAATTAGTATGGTTTATTCATGTTGTGAACGAAAGTGCAAAAGCAGGGGAGATAGGGTAAAAATGCATCGATTTCCCAAAAACGATGGGGTATGTCTAGTTTTTTATATTATTTTTAATCTTATGTAAGGATACCTATATCTAGGCTTTATATGTATATAATTTTGAAAAATTATTTTAAAAAATTATAACCATTCTTTAAAATGCATTTTTGTGATAATATTTCAACTATGGTACAAAATATGGTTATAATATTTTATAAAATATTCTCAAAAAAAAAATCATTTTAAACTTTAAAAATTTTCATAAAAGGGTTAAAATCACCCGCGGGGTGTAATTTGAAAATGTAAATTTGCCTCTAAGCAGTAAGTCTTGAAATTTGTATAGTTTTTAATTTTTATAAATATATTTTACCTTATAAATTAATTAGATTAGGAATGAAATAATTAGATAAACTTATTTGCCTCTATTAGATACGTTTATAGTTAATTGACTGATGTAGAGTAATTTTAAGTTGTGTTTTGAACATTTGCATCTATATGTATTTAACTTTGGAAAATAAAATAATAATTACAAAAATGTAGTTTTATTATTCCTCTTTTAACTTTCACTAGAAAAATATTAAAATTATTTATATATTGGAGATAACAAAATAATACAATTCAGCCACCAATAATTTGAATATCTCTTTTTGACTACACCCGCTAGATGGCGCAGTAGTCACGGAACAAAACTTTAATACTAAGTTGCCTATCTAACTAACCCCCCCGCCCACCCAACTTATCCCTTATCTATGCCCGTGAATCTCAAAATTTTTGCGATCGTGCAATATCGACATCATTTACAATTTGGTGGTTCCCCGAGTCGAGGGGTTGCTAGGCCGGACTCGGCGCTTTGCCCTTAAAGCGGGACATATTTTTTAATAGCGAAACATAACTTTTTAAAGCCGCACAAACGTTTCTAAAGATGGACATAACTTTTATAATAAAAAAAATTTTGTAACGTATTTTAATTACCTACACATTTATTAAGCACAAATAAATCACAGTAGGTAATATTTATTTTGATATTTTATTTAATTTTATTTTGGTCAATTAATTGACGAAAAACAATTTTACCGGTCAATTCCACAACCCTAGTAATACCTATATTTACATAAAATATATGTCGTTTCAAATATATTTGGTAAAATTACGGATAAAAATATGTAATATTTACATAAAAAATATGGTGTTTCAAATAAACGCATCAATTAATTAAATCAATCAATAACCGTAATAATTATTACGGTTATTGATTTATTTTACCGAATATATTCTGTAAAAGGTAAATATTTTACCGTTTTACCGTTCTTTAGTCAATGATTTTACAGAATAAAACGTTGGTTATTCTGTGGCCAACGTAATATTCTGTAATTTGTTCTGTGGAAACGCATAAATTATTACGGTTATTGAGTGATTTTACCGAATATATTGTGTAAAAGGTAAATATTTTACAGAATATTACGTTGGTTACTTTGTGGCCAACGTAATATTCTGTAATTTTTTTTTACTTTGTACAGTGCACACTTTCCACTTTTATAAACTTTAAAATATATTTTTGACATTTGTTTAAATAAGAGTTATAAGTTATAAGACTTTGATCCAACGGCAAAATAACCTTCAAAATGTGACAGTTTTTTTAATGTTGCAAAAATAAAAATATAGATGTTCGAAATACCAGAACAAAAGTTGCCGGATTTTGCCAAAGATGAACAGAAAATCACTGTTTTATTCGCTCCACTCAGGAATCGAACTGTCAACCCAAAAGATTGGGAGCATAAAATAAACTCGTGGAAAACCTTGATTTCGATTTATTGCGCATGCAATGAGATTTATTCGTTTTGTTTGTCATCGCTCAATAAAGTGTTTTTGAGAAATGGAAGGCCACCTTTATGTCTTAAGGAGGTTTTGGATCAAATGTTGAGAGAGGGTAGTATACAGCAAATAGATCGGTTTTTGGTTAAAAATTCTACGACATGGAGTGGCTGGGCCACAGATATGCTTCTGAAGAAACCTTTAGCTTGGTCCTTTGGAAAACTTAAAAATACAATTTATGTAACAACAGATGATTGTACTTATGTTGATTTGGAGCTGATTAAAACTAAAAGTAATGATCTTATGAACAAAATTCCAAAGGACCATTTAAATAAAGTGATATCGTTGCCAGAACTCTTAAAATTCATTAATGAAAATTCTAATTATACGCAAAAATTGAAACTCTTGTTGCATTATTTGGAAAAAGATGGTAAAGTTTGCCTTGAAGTTTCAAGCAGTAATGATTGTGATTATAAAATTAAATTTGGTGATGGTATTTCAGTAAAACCTATTGATGAGGTTGATATTGGAATACATTCATTGGAGAAAAATGAGACAACTTTATTAGAAAATATCGAAAAACTTGAAGATGAAATGGAAAAATTAAGGGGTCAGGCCAAGTTACAATTATCTAAGGGTCACAGACAAACTGTAAGTTATATTTGGAAAAATATCACAAATCTGAGGTTTAACAATAGAAAAAAAATACGTTTCTTTCTCTATGGTTTAGGTATACCTATTTAAATAAATATTCATTAACTTTTTTAACCACTAGAGTCCTTCAATTAAACTAAAATGTTCTTGTTTCTGCTCCTAAACTTAAAAGTGCAGGATTTTGTAATTAAAATTAATTTATGGATTGGGTAAAATTAATAATTTTTTGTCTTTTTTTAGGCTAAAACTTGCTTGAGGAAAAAACATGAGATTGAAAAAAAAATACAAAAAAAATCTGATGCATTGCACAATATTCAGATAATGCTGGAAAAAATTAAAGATACCCATACAGATGCCCATGTTTGGGAATCATACAAATTGGCCTTAAATTCTTTTAATACCACATTTAAAGATTCAAATTTATCAGAAGATGCAATAGAAGATACTATGATCAAATTAGGAGAGGTATATACATATTTTATTTTTATTAATCACAGTCGGTCCTAAAATTATTTTTAAACAAAAAAAGTGCTTCAATATAAAATGTTGTATTTGTATACTATTGCCCCGTATTACCAAGAACTATGCACCAAACTCAAAAGTGGCTTTGAAACAAATAATTAAGGTTAATTTTCTTAATTTAATTTAAATTTAAGTTAATTTAAAAATATAATAATAATAATAATCTTTATTGCACAAAAATATAAATAAAAACAATATTTTATACAAAGGCGAGAATTCAGCTGATGCTGTTCTTCCATTCTAAACTTTATCTAATCTATGATTCTAAACCTACTTAATAATTGAAGGGGTTAGAATAAAAAGGGTATAAGTAACATTTTCATTTTTTGGAGATATTTGAAGTTAAAGTTATGTTACCATAAAAAAGTGAAGAATTTTGTTTAGTAATGTTTTTCTACTGGATAATAGAGGTCCCTAGAAGTATGAAAATTACTTAAATCCTTTTTATTTCGATACGTCGGAACCTTATCTTTCACAAAACGAACTTATCTCCTAAATTAAAGAAATTGCACTTATACCCTTTCTATTCTAACCCCTTCAATTATTATTATTATTAATACAAAAAATAACAAGGTAGATTGGTAAAAAATACACACTTAACAAAAAATATATTTAAATTTTACTACACTAAAATTGACTAGCCTGTTCCCTTAGCAAAGTGGATTGGAGTATTTTTTTAAAACTATTTACAGAGTATGTTGAGTTAAAAATATTGTGATATTTGTTCAGAATCTTTACTGCAAAATATTCAAAGCTTTTCTCAAATTTTGAGGTTCTATGACTAGGAATTGAATAATACTGATTATTTCTTACATTTAAGCTGTGACATTGGTTTCGTTTTATAAGTAAATCGTACAAATAAGATGGAGACTCTGTTTTGACTACTTTAAATACTAAAAAACTATATTGTAATAAAAATAAATAGCTGCATTTTAAAGTGTTGTTTTGAATATAATGACGAGTAATATGATCACGATAATTTGTGTTAAAAGAATATCGAAAACAGCTGTTTTGCAGCTTTTGCACACATTTTTGCCAGTTTTGATCAGCTATAGTAAAATAGACACAGCTACAATAGTTAAAAAGACTTAGAATTACACTAGATGACAGTTTCCATTCCATACCTTATACTATTGCCCCATGTTACCAAGAACTATGCACCAAACTCAAAAGTGGCTTTGAAACAAATAATTAAGTAATTTTCTTACTTTCAAGCTTATTTCGTCTTATTTTTTAAAATTTAATTTTCTTACTTTCAAGCTTATTTCGTCTTATTTTTTAAAAATTATTTGTATAGAAGTCGTGTGGTGGGATTTTTTTAAGGGTATACTTTACTACTATTACATTAATAGCGTATTTTTAATTTCCAAAAATGTTATGGACTCAAATGGAGTTTGCTGGGTTTGATATAAGACGCCTGACATAACATATTATGTTACCAGGTCCAACTACTGAAACGATTTTGAATTTCTCTTATTTAAGGGTTTAATTAAAGTATACTGTATATTATTTAATTAAGGTCCTTTGTTGCCTCGTACCGAATTTCTAACTCGAATTGTTTCAAGTCACTTCTCAACCTAGTAACTGCATTAATAATTGTTCTTAACTGATTTTAAAGCTATCTGCGAAGAATTTCTCGTTCACTTCAAATTTGTATATATTTTTATTAGGTGTTGGACATACATGAGGACATCCAAACCGCCCTCTCTCACCCTGTCAAGGATACTTCTACATCGGAGTCCGATTTGGAACAGGAATTAGCAGATTTAATTAGTCAAGAGGATAGCCTAACAGAAGATTCAGAAGAACAACCTGCTCCGGATGATTTTGAAGCAAGATTAAAAAATCTATCAATTAACTTACCTGATGTACCAGAAACTAAAAAACCAAAATTGGAAGTGCCTTTGATTTGATTTTTCTCAATTATACTAATATACTATTTATTAAATAAAGTTTATAAATATTTTTTTAGTTTTGCTTTAGTTCAAGAATTAAGTTTTGAGTTATGGTGTTTTTTTTAAATACTTAATAAACAAATTGATGCAAAAGGTCATAATAGTCCATTTTCATGAACTTTATTACACGTTTTTATTGCACTGAAATGTCTGTTTTGTTTTGTCTTGTATTCATAACCATTTGATTATCTCATTTCAAGGTTTTTTGACTTATGGTGGCCTTGAACTGGGTGTGCGATATTTTTTTTAAGGGAACAAAGCGCCGCTCCACAAGAATTTTGACATTTTACCCTTTATACCACCAGGAATAAAATATTCAAAATCCATTCAGCTCGGAATTTTTTCGATGTATTTGTTCATAATTTACCAAAACTGATTTCGATAAAATAAAAAATAAAATATATTTAAATAATATGTAAATAAACAAATATATTCACTTTCAATTTATTTTTCACTCACAATTAATTCCACAAAACAATAAAAAATAAATTCAAAATAAGTTTTATACAATGGTGTTGGAGATTTAAAATAAATATCCAGATGGCATTTTTGCCACCTTCTCAATCTTTGTTTGGAATAAAATTGATTATTAAGAACTTTATTTTTGATATTATGTAAAAAACCAGTTTGATTTGGCTGAAGAGCATAATTTTACTAAAAAAATTGTATTTATTTGCACAAATTGTAAAATTATTAATAATTTTACAACCATTTTTATAAAAATATTTAATAAAAAATCTTAGTGATGCCAGGAATGTTTTAAAGAACTTTTTTGAAGTATAAACAATAAATAAATTCAACAAAATATTTAACACATGATGTGGTAAATAAAGATTTAGTTTCTTAGTATAATATATTGTACACATATAACTTGTAACATATTGACTTTTTCTACATATATTTTTGCAAATTTATGTAAAAATATTTTTTTTTTTAATAATAATAATTGCCTACCACGGATAGTTGGAAAATTATTATTTATTTTATAATGGTTGTCTGATTTAATAATGTAAAATATAAAATACCAAAGTATAATATAAATTTTATATTGTTTAAATAATGTAATACCATCATGGCTTAACCATGATTTAGCATTATGAGCAAAAAGTGCCTTCAATCCAATGGCATCACTCTTAGAAATGCTGTCAATAATTTGAAAATATTTTAATTAAATTATAACTTAATATTCATCTAAATCAAAGTCTGCCAATTCATCCAGGTCGTCCAATTGCAAACTTTGGAAGTCTACTTTGTATCGTAATAAACCTGAAATAAAAAATAAATATATTAGGATTTTTCTATTAATAAATGTATGTTATATTGCCTTTTTTTAAATATGGCATTCATGCAGTTGCTTAAATCTATGATTTTATGACTGAAACTGATTTTCCTTTTGATTACAGCTTACCAAGAGTGGATTTTGTGAAATATGCTTGTTAAGTGATATTTTTAAATGAAAACGTTTCCAGTTTTACAAAATTATTAAACCATGAGGGAGATGGTAAATGTTTAGAATTACGGTGAAGAAATTGATTTTATGTCATTTAAATATTAAAGTTTTCAATAAAAAAACAATACTAATATAATAATAAAGGTCAAAATACAAATATAATATTTTTTTCAAGAGTACAATATTTTCCATGTTAAAAGACTTATAGACTCTATCTGTGGGTAAAAGGCATAAGGGGATAAGTCAAAAAAAGCAATTTTTCGGTAGAGACTTAAACGTGTTCGCATTAATTCAGGAAATATATTTATGGTTAGTGAGTATACCCTTTTGCTAGCATATGACATGTGCTGGCAAAAGGGTAGACCAGCTAACCATAAATGTATTTCCTAAATTAATGCGAACACGTTTAAGGCACTGCTAAAAAATTCATATTTTTGACTTATCCCCTTATGCCTTTTACCCACAGCTATATACTCGTAGAAAGACTTCTTATTAATACTAGTTCAAAAGTCAAATTATTATTGAGCTCCATACAGAAATAAAGCTAAAATGTCATTATGTCAGTTGAACATAACCTAAAAATGATGTAACAAAATTATTTAATGATTGAAAAAAAAATAGTATCCAAACTTTAAATTAAAACTTGGTTACATGCATGTAAAAATGGATTTTTTATAATTTTAAGTTTTTAAAGTGTTTTTTTTAATCTCTTAAATCGAATTTATAAGGATAAAAAGAAAAGTTTACTTTTTTATAATAAAATTATGATGATTTAAAGTTTTGATGTAACATTAATTAAACGTCATAAAATAAATTTCTAAAAAATAGTGGATTCTTTAAAAGTTTATTTTTGAACCCCCGTGATAGGAATGTATTTGGGAAATCATTGAAAGGTAAAACTACACTAATACAGTGACAACTACCACACGAAAAAAAAACGCAAATTCTACCACATCGATTTCACTATACCTTATATAAATTAAAATTATCTGAAAGACATAGACCTTTATTTTTAATATTCATCAAGATCTACATCATCCAGAGGCTCATCGGACTGTAAAGATTGAAAGTCCACTTTGTATCGAAGAATGCCTATTTAGTCCAAGCAGCAGTAAAATAAAATTCATAAATTTTTATGTTAGTACAAGGTTTTTTTTATTTTAATCTATAGTAAATAGGTTAAAACATGTAAATTAAATGTAGCCATTCAGCGATTTTACAGATTTGATAAATTTGTATAGTTAAGAATGTTATTTGATTTAAACAGAGTCAAATTTTCTTGTACAAAAAATACAAGGGAATTGTATGTGGGGTGAAATAGCAAACCTACATAGTGTAAAGTATACATTGGATATCCACAATTTACTATCTTGCATTATCATTTAACAGATTAAATTAAAAAAAAAATAGCCTGTGGTTTTATAATGCTGCAGGTTAATACTTTTTTTTAAACCCCAAGTAAAGAAAAGTGACCAAATATGTAATAGTATCCCCAATATGGAATACCAACATTTCTATAAAAAAAAACAATTGAAGATGCAAAACAAGGTTATCTTCTATCTCATTCACTCACTTTAGTATTACACTCATTTCATCTAGTCAGCCTGGCAGAAGTGTTTTACTATTGTCAATTAGTTAAAAATAATATATGTTTAGCATATTGGATTTCCGGTCTATTTATTGTTGTGTCGTTATTTGTAAAATTCTAAAACACACATTCCGGCAAAAGGGTTAATAGTGGTTGTAAGTCTTTTAAGTGTATACTATGCCCCTATTGATTCTACTATAAATTATAATGTAATGCGGGAACGCCATTTGGCCCACGCCACGCCACACTACGCTACGGCGAAGGTTTCAATGCAATCCTACACCATGCCACTACAGGTAGTCCACGTCACGTGGAACGACTTTTCGAAAATCAAATCGTTTTGAATTTTTAAGAGACGTGTCGAAGCGTTGTGGAGTTTCTAAAAGCTCCGTACGTAGTGCGCATATGTGTTCTATGTTCATTCTAATATACACATGAAATTCACTTTGACTTTGGTGCAATTCTATTTAAAAAATATTGTTTTTTGGCCGTACCATGCCTGTAATATTCTATAGTATAATATATTATGTGTTTGTAATTTTATGTGTTTTCATAACTATTTAACTTTGGTTAAACACAGAAATATCCGAACATAAAACCGGTCTATATGAAAAATCACCTTCAGATACTAAATTATATAATAAATTACCCAACAGTATAAATGTTTACATGAATTTCTATTTGTCAAAATTTTAAGAAAAATTCAAATTACAAATTATATTTGTTTATCATACTGTTGCCATGAAGACAGAACAAAACGCAAATGCATATTGTGGTGTGCTTATTATGATATACAAATATAAAAAAATATTTATGGTTTCACTGTTTATATTCTGTCAGACTATTGGCAAACTGTTTAAGAAGTTGTATATTTTATTTTTATACAACGCTTTCATTTTTTTCATATAAACAGCTAAAGCATTCTGTTGTGATGACACTGATTTGCCGTGTCTTCACGGCTTTTTAGACAAAATGTATAGCCACGCCTTTATAGTACTGCCGTGAATTTAATAACACGTTTTTTTCGTTTAAATACATAAAATTCATACTTCACCATTTCTGCCATAAAATAATATTTATTTAATTATTAAATTTAATAATCTTTCCGAAGTGCACTGCCGTGAATTTAATAACACGTTTTTTTCGTTTAAACACATAAAATTCATACTTCACCATTTCTTATTTTTCCTGTTTAGACAATTGGCAACTCTGGTCGAGGTGATTCCCCGCACCTATATATAAGAATATATTTAGCCAAGAGACCCTTCAACAAACAACGCAACGCAAAAGACGAGCCAATAACTACCACACCTAAGCATAGGCTGAATAAGAGACCCTTTAACAAAGTTTCTAATTCAGCCTATGCTTAGGTATTGTAGTTGCCTGCTCCTCTTTTGTGTTGCATTTGCTTATTGGACACTGTTTTATTGGGTTCTCAGTATTTCGATATTATTATTTAGTAATGAACCAAAACCGGTCTGAAATTCCGAATATGGAATAGTTGAATCTTTACTGCCAAATTTGATGTTTTATTCATTTTTAAAATATTTCAGAAAACAGAAAGTATCAAATAATGACAAGATGACTGAAGCTAAAGAAATTGTCAAATAAATGGGTTATGTCTTATTACATACATATATGTACATATATGTAAACATGGGCTTACTGCGACACATGTTCCTTAATCTTGTAGAAAAAATAAACACTATTTGTGTTGTTACTTAAGAAAAAATGCCCATATCCATATTTGGGTACCTTTTTTGTTATTTTAGGTTTTGTAAAATTGTTAAATGTTAAAAATAAGAAAATAAAACTATTAATAAGTGATGGCTAAATGTATGAAACAATTAAATTATTAAAATGATTTACTTTCTTATCAAAAAAACAAAATGGTAGGTTTTCCATATTTGGCCACTCTCTTCTAAATTTTAAACCCAAATACTTATTTAAAAAAAATTCAAATACCAATACAAGAAAGTTTCATTAATTTATATAACTTTGTACTTTTAAAGACTTATTAAGTAGAATGTTAAGCATTTATTAGAGGCATAACTTAAATCCTAAAAAACTATTTGAACATCATGTAAATTTATTTAAAAAACAAAAATTAGGATGAGATTCTTTGGTAAAAATTTAAAAAAACTTCTAAAAAGTTACGTTCTTCTCATGAATATTTGAAGCAAATTTTATGTTAAACATTTGATATATGACAACTGTCAGACAAATTAACCCACACTTTTAACCAATTTATAATATATTAATAATATTTATAAGCCCATGCGTAAATAGTCTAAAAGCTACTGTTGCTAACTTCAACTTGTGACTAAAACGCCATAAAGTCGCAGCTTGTCAATGTGGGAATTAATAAAAATTAATAATAAATAAATGTTATTGCATAATTTACAAAGGGCTAACGACTTTCGTCTTTCTGATCATTTATTAAAAACGATTTTAAGTAAATTGGAAGGCTGATTTCAAAAATTTTTCAAAGTTTTAAAAAAATACATGATTTTGTTCAAAGAATTTTTTATTTTTTATAAATTTTTTTAAATTGTTTTTATACCATTTATAATTTGTGCTATAAGGGGGAGTTTAATTTTAATAAGCAAGAAACATTTTAATGTCAAAAATGTATTTTAGAAGTATTAGTTTTACTCATTAAAAATGTTTCTAGTACTACAAATAAAACATACACTTTAGGATTGCATTGTATAAATATACTAAAGAAATAAGCTGAAATGGTCATTATAATTTTGTTTTAAATTATTCAGATACTGTTATTTTAATGACTGTCACCAAAAATATATCTGCAGAATGCTAGATTTAAAAATTTAACATTTTGTGTTTCCAATGGGAAAGTAAACAAATACTTTTTAATTGTAAGTAGCTATTTTGTATTAAAATTTTTCTGTCCAATATTTTTTTAAACAGTTATCTCATAAAGAAAACACAAAAATGCTTGGCTTTATCAGAAACACATTAATATACCATTTAGTATACAAAGTTAAAAACCAATTATTTATTATTAATAATAAATAATTAATATTTTGTAAATTTTAAATTCAATTTTTTTATTTTGCATCCCCAGAAACAATATTTATTGGGGGCATCGGTTGTGAAATGCAATTCAATTTCCGATTGAAAACATTTTTTTAAAGAGATTTTTATGTTTCTTGTAATATGTGTTTTCAGTCTGTAAACTGTGATAACTTTAGGTACCGTAAACACGGGTGGCTTTAGCTCACTTTCAAACTTAATCTTAACATTTTTGTAGTTTTAACAATCATAAACATTAAATATTGCATACCAAAGTTTGAGTCTTGAGTTGCTCTTTCATAATAACTATGTTATAATCTTACATAGGGCTGAGTTTCACAAATAAAAATTAAAAACTGGGTGTGCAAAGTTACCCCCTGGTTGCGGGTTACTTTGTCTCACAGTGTATTTTCCATATAAAATTAACTCAATATTTTATTTTATTTTTATCAGACATATGTTAGCAGCGACATATAGCAATTGCAAGGGATTACCGATAAAAACAATAACAAATCGACCAAGGATCATCATTTCAAAGAATTGCGCATAATATAGAAATTGAAACGCGTGTATTTTTAAGAGTTTTGCACTAATGCAATATATACAACTTTAAAGTGTAATAAATCCCACTGATTTTCCTGTAATATAAACTCAATAGAATCGCTTAATTGACAGGTTTAGACCAACAAATTATAAATGTTAATTTTATCGAGCGCGAAAAATTTTTTCATTAAAGGGCTAAAGTCACCAGCGGGGTGCAAAAAGTCACCCGTGTTTACGGTACCTAAATTATTGTAATATATGTATTAGTGTAAGTAAAAGTGTTATATTTAAGAAAGTAATGTACATTATATATTAGGTGACTGTAAAATTCTAAGGGGATGCCCCTCGATAATCATTATCTGTTTCTGGGGATTTAAATAAAGAATTTTGAGATATGAATTTGAAGAAATTAGAAAATAAGTTAAGTTAGTTATGTTCTAAAAAATAACTGCCCAATTCAAAAAAAAGACCTAGAACCAATTAAAATACCCAAAAAAACCTTTTGTTTTGTGTTAACCAGTGTTAGTATTATTCCACATACATTCTGCTTGCTTATGTTACAATAAAAAATGAAAATAAGTGCAAAAATACTGACCTCCAATTCCACCAAACCCTCGAACAAACTGAGAACCTTCTTGAGATTTGTCAGTAATAATTTCCAAGGTTGCTCCAAAGTTCTTGTAGTTGTTGGCAAGCCATTCCAAAAGGGGCTGACATTCTACCAATTCCAATTCAACTCCGCTCTGCAAGATAAAAAATATGACTGATTCTAAAAATACTGTATAAAATTAAATTACCTCTTTGTCTGTAAAGTGAGACTTGTCTTTTTCTTGCTCGGGTGTCAAATGTAATACAGTTTCAGTACCTCCTGTGTGATTCTTAAGAACGTACCTTTGAATATCCAAATTCTCCCAACAAATGAGGGTCTCCACAGAACCAAGTTCAAGTCCTCTCAGCGTATCCTCAACTCCAAAGCAATATTTGCCTGTATCCTGACTGATTTCATCGAAATATCTTCCAATCAATTTCTTCTCCTGGATAAACTTAACGTTCTGCAGAGATTCGGCGGCCAACTCGATGGCCTGGTTGAAACCGTTTTCACCACCATAAGAAACATCAACCAGTTTGATAATCTTTGCTTGCAGCCTGGGATCGAACATGTCGGACTGACTCAGTTCAGTTTTGAAATCTGCACTACCAGCCAAAATTAAACCAGCAATGTTTGGCTTGTCGTTTGTGATAAAAAGTTGAGTGGCCACTTCGGCGACTTTTCTCACGTAATTGTGCCGCTTTTCCATTCTCAAACGCGCGAAACGCAGAGCAGACTGACCTCCTCTGCCGTGCTTTTTTGGCAAATCTACGGTAAATTTGTGCAAAACCTCTCTCGTATTACCCTGTAGTGTTCCAAAGAGTGCTCCGTTACCGTCCATGACGATGAAGCCGAATTTGTTGTCGTCGGCCAAAAGGGCCGTTAATGCTTCTGTATGGAACTTGTTGTCGCATAAGTACAGAGACGTGTTTATGGGTTTGAACGGTTCAAAATCGATGTTAACTTTCTTTTCTTTGCCCTCATCTGTTACTATTGTTCCGCAGTAAATTACTAGACCATTTGGGGGCACTACAAAATGTGCAAGATTAAAATTAAAACTAGAAATATCACAAATTATGTTTTATGTTATAACATAGACAAATTTTGGCAGTCAAGTTTGTTAAAAATTTACAATTGAAAGAAAAGCGCAAATAAACGAAGAAATGGTCAATACATTTATGAACTTAAAAATCGCAATTAATATTATATATAACATAATTTTGTTTACCATTAAAAATCGTATAATTCTTTAAAATAAATCATTCCCATCGCATCATAGTATATTATGTATCACGTTTTATAAACACTATTTTAGTTACGAGTTTTATTAGGCACGAGCTAAGCTTGCGAGCGAGTGTTTATAAAACGAGTTGTATACTATACTTTATCTACGACGAACACAAATAAGAATTTAAATCCAATTTTATTTGTTAAACATTTGAAATCTGTCAACTTTTAACGAATTTAACCTTACTTTTCCCTAATTTATAATAAAGCCAGTGACTAAAATGCCCAAAAGCCACTATTGCTAACTTCAGCCTGTGACTAAAACGCCATTAAGTTACAGATTGTCAATGTCAATGTAGTAGATACAGCTTTTAAAAAAGGAAAGAAAGTAAAGTTATTAACCTAACCAGCTAACCAATAGGCGAAAAATTTTACTTTTATAAAAACAAAAATTAAAACAAAAAAAAAACAAAAATTGATGATTTTATGAAATCTGAACGCAATTTTCAAATTGGCTGTTGTCTTTGGAGTATTGGAGCTACATACATTACATTTGGTCAAGCATATAATATAATGGTTTAATGGTTAAACTTTAACATAAACAATTTTTTTTTGAGCACATAAATTACTATTGTTTTGGTTTTAATTTAATAAATAAAAGTTTTTTCTTGTATATTAATAATCTTTATAATATAATATTGTAGATTGTCCCAACTGAAGTGAGGAGCATTTTTATATTATTTTATAACCCCAAAAGTTACTAAAGAAATTGTTTGTTCTACTTGGATACAAAACACTGTTTTTAAATGTCACATTACATTTAAAGTTTTATGTCTTTAGTGTAAATCTAGATTTTTATGATAATTTTTTTGCAACAATGCTCAATAGCTAATGACATTTTAACTGGACCACTTTTACGAAAGGTCTAAAGCTAAATTTTCATTGATTGATTTGGCGATAAATAGAAATTAAGGGCCAGTATATTCACTTCAATAAATTTAACTAATGCTCATAGTTACAATTATGTCAACAATTGACGCGTTTCTCGGAAAAACATCATTAGTCCAAAATTAACATATTTGGGAAAATGAAAAAAACTCCCCGGCATTCCGATTTTTTACCAAAGTACTATATTGACCTATTTACTACATGTAAAAAAATGTAAGATACTTTGTCCAGAATTCCTCATGTTTTTTTTTTCGACGAATATGAAAAAAACACAAAAAATACATGAACATGTGAGGTTTTTAGAAGAAAAAAACGAACAATTCTCCTTACTACAAACTAAATATTAACTCTGAGTAACAAAATAAATGAAAAAACTAAAAACTGTATTACTGCCACACTCAGTCTTCGCATCCACTGCTGTTATCATCGTTGTCGACCGTGTTATCAGGACTGTCAGGTGCTATGGTCTTCTGGTCTTTTATTAAGTTATCATAAAATTTTCTATTGCTGTGGTCATGTAAAAGAGGTAAAAGCTTTTCTAGAGTGTCCAAAAACGTCACATGTTATGCACATGTGACTTTCTTAGACAAAACGGAGTGGACTTGTGATGTTTTTAGAAGAACAAGCTAAATTTCATATTTAATTATTATGGAACCTATGACATTTTTACGAGAAACACTTATTTGTATACGTATATATGGAGGTTAGGAAACAGTTGGTGCTAATATCTAAATTTCGACGATATTGGACTAATGATGTTTTTCCGAGAAACGCCTCAATTGTAAATCAAAGAGTTATCTGTCTAATAAATTTAAAGATAGGTGAATATACCATATAAAAAGAATATACTAGCCTTAATATACATTAAAATGTAGTTTTGAAAAAGCAGGTCCTTTTAGTTTTGGTTTTAATATTTTTTGTTTGTTTTTTCTTGTTCTCCATTCTTATTAAATAAATACAGTAGAAAATTATTCACATAACGAACGTAATTACTCCGTTTTACAATCATAATTAAAAAAATATTAAAAGATTTGAAAATAAATTATCTTAAAAGTTACCACAACTATTTTCAAAGTATCTAACCCCTTAAAGGGGTTACGTACATATGAGCTCGTAAAAATTAACAGTTTTTGGTGATTTTTTTTGGTATATAATAATAATTAAATTAAAACGAACTATAAAGCATCAAAAATGGTATGTTTCGATGTATTTGTAAAAAAAAATTATGCGAAAATATGGAAAATTGTGCCCCAGAAAGCGTTTGCGGTGAGCATGAAACATCGAAAACCGCGTAATAGATCTTAATGAAAAAAAAAACATATTAGTGCATACTTTTAGTACATACTATGTATCACCCCCTTTGCGAATGTTTACGCAAATGGCGGTGATTTTCAAAGGTACAAAAATTGAGTTTTCCGGCCGAAAAAAAAATTAATTTTCGTCCAAATGAAAATCCCTATTGTAATTAGGAACAACACAAATTTAAGATCGATCGATAAATTGATTTTCGAGAAATCGTGCTCATGGCAAGGGCACTTTTCATAAAATACGATTTCGAGATAAACGCGTTTAAAGTTTTAAGTTCATTCAATTTGCCTTTAAATTTTGGTGAGAGGGCGCCCTATAAATTGCTATAACATAAGTTCTAGTGCTCCAATCTTGATGAAATTTTTAGTAAATAGATATTCTTAAAAGTATGTTGTAAGAATATTCAATAAAAAAATCGATTTTTTGACCCTGCACAAATGTATGTAACCCCTTAAGGTGTCAAAAACGAATGTGTAATCACGGATGAGTTATTTTAACTTTCTCCGTCAGACGTACGAAGTTGAAACTTGACGGACCGATGAAATGTCATAATTGTGATTGGAACAATGTCCCAAATGTCAAATTTAAGTTCGTAAAAAATGCATTAACTTTACCTTTGATGAAATATAGGTAACAATATGGCCCAAAAGAGGCAAATTTGCCTTTCCAGCATACAAATATACATGTATGTTTATTATAATTCTGACAGTTAAATGAAAAATGTCAAAGTATTTAAAATTAAGGGCTTAAACAGGACAGGGCTCCCACAGCTAAATTCTAATTTTATTTAGAAATTTATGAGTTTTTTTTAGAATTTTAGGAGAAATAAAGTATGTAAAGGAATTTATGTAATTAAATTAAAACAACTCTACACTGCACTTAAAAAATAAGAAAAAAAATAAATAATTCTTTAAACAAAAATATGATAAATATCACTTCTATTGTACAGTTTTGTCTAGTTTTTTAGCCAAATCGCTCGACGAGTTTTTTTTAAATAAAATTAAAAGAGGTAAAATTACTACTTTTGTATAGTAAATTTAAAAGTAAACTACGTACACGTCATCAATCAGCTGATCGGGCACGGTTGTCAATGTGATGCTAAAATCCTTGCATCAAGGGAAAGTGGTAGTGCAACTACAGGGCGATAGATGGCGTTTACATGAATAATACCAAAATGTCAAAAGTCTGAGTTTTTATAACCTATATGATGCACCGCCAAAAGTATGTTTTTAGCAATTTTTAAAGACATTTTCTGATATAAAACCCAAAAATTTTGCCATCTAAAGTCAGTCTCTGGTATATATATTATTATTTTATGTATCCAACATATATTTTGTTAAATATTCTAATATATAATTAATAATAATCCTATTTACCTCTCTAACAGCTTTTAAAGGTAACAAAGGTCCATTATTATCCCATTCTGCCTCAAAATAGCGTATTAAGGATGACACCAACTCTTGACTCCGACTATTTAAATGCTTCGGCATTTTAAATATAGAAAACACAAAAAAACGATATATAACAAACACACAAACGGCAATGAAAAATTAAACGATATAAAATAACACAAACAACAAACAAAATAAACGAAATAATACATGAATTAAACGAAAAATTCAAAAACACAACTGACAGCTTCGAAATTCTAAAACGTCAAATTCTTTTTTATGTGTCATTTAAATATGAAATATTTGAATGTAAATATGACAACATCTTAATTGTTGCCAACTGAAGATGTTTAAAATGCATTCAAATATTCAATTACAGACTTCGATTTAGTCATTTAGTGTTGGTACCAATGCGTAAAATTTTTGTTTTATTGATGACGTGTACGTAGTTTACTTTTAAATTTACTATATACATATATGTATGCATCTGAGCTATATACACAAAATTTAAAGTTTGCATACTACTAAATTTTGCTATCATTTAAAAGAAAATTAAAAATTCTTTTTTTTTTTTGGATATATAATTAGATATGGGATTTTAGTGTTATTACCTATTTGTCTACACTAATCATAAATTTAGGTGCTATGGAATAAAATTCGTTTTAAAGAAAATGATTTCATTTGAGCCTGCTTTTATATTACCTAAATTTTCATATAATTAGAGATGGGATTTTAGTGTTATTACCTATTTGTCTACACTAATCATAAATTTAGGTGCTATGGAATAAAATTCGTTTTAAAGAAAATGATTTCATTTGAGCCTGCTTTTATATTACCTAAATTTTCATTTTAAAAAGAAATGGACCTTTTTTACCACCTAAAAGTTGCTTTCCAGTACTTTTTTTTGTAAAGTACATACCTAATTTAAGAATTTTCTCACATGAAAACAAGAAAAAAGTTTACCTATTTAGGTACCTATTTTTATGAATTTGGCAACCTAAAATCCCATCTCTATATATAACACAGTATATTTTTGTCGAAAACAAATGAAATATGGCTAAAATGACAATTTTGTAGAAGTTTAGAAGCCACTACATGGATTTTGTTTTCAGGTATGTTTTGTTGTTATTTTATGAAAAATGTAGGTTGTGATATTATTTAAAAAAAAAATAATAAACCAGAACCTACAAATATATATTTTTTAAATTACTTTTTAGAAAAGAAATTTTTTAGCACAACTAAACTTATATTTAATTTTTAGGAGTTTTACGAGATTGATTTTAGGAGAATTTTAGGATTTTCAAGATTTAAGCCAAATTTTAGAAATTGTATGAGTTTTAGCCTAAAGTGACCATCCGTCCCGATTTAGGCGGGACAGTCCCGATTCTGAGCTAAGGGTCCCGATTTAATAAGCGTCCCGCTTTTGTCCCTCTTTCAATAAATTCAGACTATTAACTTTTACTCTAATTGTTTAGAATATTTAAGCCAGTACAGTAGTAAAAAAGCTCCGACATGGGAACAAGTACAAAAAAGTTTAGAGTTTCTTTTAAAAAAATTCCCCAAATGCACCATAGTTTAAAATGATTTATTTGAATGATTTATTTGATGAGACGCATTATGTTCATAATTATGTTTCTGAGAGAGAGTAAATTTAGTTAACTTATTTTTTGGACTGAGCAAAAAACTCCCACAGATCAAAAATGGGTAGAAATGTTTAGTCATTTCGATGAAAATAACATTCCTTTCAATAATTATTATCATACAGTCTCCTTTAAAATTATATTTAATAGTCACTAAAGCTTTTAAAGTTTCTACAGACAAATTAGTTTTTTTGGTGGTCCAAATTTTATTAATCATAGAAAAAACCCGTTCGGTAGAAGCGTTTGTACCGGGTAAGCATAATATATATTGTACTAATTTTAAAATATTAATATTTTAAAATTAGTACAATATAATTTGTCTGTAGAAACTTTAAAAGCTTTAGTGACTATTAAATATAATTTTAAAGGAGACTGTATGATCATAGTAACTCGAGTTAAAAAATAAGCCCCTATTAAAAAAATTCATCAAAATGAAAAATATAAATAAAAATGTTATAGGTATTAAAAATTTAAAATCAGAATACTGATTGTCGTTTTTACTTGTAGTTTTTTTTTGTATTTCATTACATATTTTGTATAACTACTTAGTATTTTTTATTTATCACTACCCTAATTCTAAATTGAAAATGAAAACAAGATTTTTGACCATTTTGTCCCGCTTTTGGACTTTTAGGATCTGGTCACTAAAACTTTTAGGAAGTGTGGGAGCCCTGACAGGAGTACTAATCTTAAATATCAAAGTATATTAACTTACAATACCAACAAAATCAAATGTGTCAAAATCTGAATAAAAAAAACTTTAGGTACCATTTTAGAATTTTAGGTAGGTATAATTTCAAATAATAATTAACTTTATTGACCAGTATAAGAATAAATTCATATTTAAAGGATTTATAAATGTGTTTAGAGTATTTAATTTGAGAAATTTAGAAAGTCTTCTTAGTATAATGTGGAGGAAATGTGGATTTCCAAATTTACACAAAATACTAGCATATTGTACCAAAAACATAGATTTACATTTGAGAATTTAACCAGTTCACGATAATTCAATATAATATCAATCACTTCAAGAGCAAAATTGGCTTGTGTACAAGTGTTGATTGAAGATATCTCTCTTCACTAAATGTTACAAGCACAAATACATAAATAATAACGTACCTTTAGTGTATAGTTTTAAACGATGTTGGACAGAAGTAATTGCACCAAGTACAGATAATCTATTTACACGGGACTTAATATTAGAGGCGGTTCCAAATTCATCGGCTAACATCTTGCTAATTCTGGATATTTGATCTTTCGGGGGAATAATTAAGGAGATCATGCTGGTTCCATTGCTAAAATAAGTTTTAAACACAATAAGTACAAGACATCATTTAGAACTCCTTTTAAAAGAAAGGAAAAGTTTTCGAATTCAATATGTTAGAAAAGGTTTTTGTTCGTGTTAATCTTACCCTCTGGCCAACTCTAAACTTTTGATGAGCTTCTTAATTTTCCATATTTCGACATTGCGATCGGCAGAAGTTTCTTCCCCTGACATTTTTGGTTAAAATTTGTAAATGGAAAATTAAAAACGTGTTAGCCCCTTCAAAATGGCCGCGGATTCAATGCCGATGAACCATTCAAGTCACTTGTCACTGGTTATTCAGGTAACCTAAATGAACTGGTTAAAACTGGAATTACACAAAGAAAATCAAAGCCATTTCACAAACAAATACGAGATTTAAGTAGAGGTTATAAAAAGAAATTATATTTTGGGGTTTTGATGATGAAAGAAAATTTAAAATAAGCTTTATTTTAGTCAAAATGCCATGAAATCAATTTTTGAAATTCAATATGGTGTATTTGATTTTTTTTAGTTGGTACCTCTGAATTTTGACGTTAGCTCTTTTGCATGTTTTTGTTTGATTTACGATATATTTGTAATACTTTTTATCTAAGTAAAATGTTTAATTTAAAAACATTTTATTGTACATTGATATATATTCGATAACTATGCTATTTTATATCCAATGATTTTTTTTAAATTTGCCGCCAATTTAAAATGACATTGGCAAAAATCTGACGTTTAAACGTCAGAATAATAACCTATAAAATGGTAAAATTTAAATTATTTAATTTTTTCTAATAAAATAATTTATTTTTTAGGATATTAGTCTATTTTCCGATGATAACTTTGATACAAAAGCATGGATAAATGAAATTCTTAAAAATGGAGAAAATGAAAAAGATGTATTAAATAATAATAAATTAAAAATTGTTGCATTACATTTACAGTATTTTCTAGGGTAAATCTACCATGTCCATGGTAATGAAACTACAATTATATGTTCAACAAGTTCATAATGCTTTGGAAAACACAACACAAGAGATTCAAGGATCTCTTCCGACAATATTAAGGGATTCCAAAAATCTTCAGGAAGAAGCTTTAATATTAAAAGAAAAAATGGTTTTGGTAAAAGATGAGGTATTAAAAATAGAAGAAGAAACAGGAAATTCAATAAATACAATAAAAAAACTGGATACTTTTAAAAATCAACTGTTCTTAGCTAAGCAAGGATTACATGAAAGTGATAATTGGACTATACTTGGTTTGTTTATACATAAATTTATTTAAATAACTATAATAAAAATCTAATTATTTATAGTTAATGATCTAGAAGAGGTTTTTGATTCAAAGAATATAGAAAATATATCAAAGAGGATTTTGGGAATGCAAAATTCTTTAAAATTGCTTGTAAATGTGTCTGATTATGATGAAAGAAAATTGCAATTGGAAGGTTTGAAAAATAGATTGGAAGCAATTGCAAGTCCATCTATTGTACAAGCTTTTTCATCGAATAACTCAGGTATTTTGTATTTATTTGTTTTTAGAATTTGGTCTGTTGGACATGGTAAAAGTAATTTTAGTGTTTGAACTTATCTATAATAATTGAAAACATTTTAGTTTATTATACCGTAAACACGGGTGGCTTTGGCTCACTTTCAAACTTCAGCTTAAAATTTTTGTGGTTTTAACAATCATAAACATTAAATTTTGTATACCAAAATTTGAGTCTTGAGTTGCTCTTTCATAATACCTATGTTATAATATTACATAGGGCTGAGTTTCAAAAATAAACATTAAAAACTGGGTGTGCAAAGTTACCCCCTGGTTGCGGGTTACTTTGTCTCACAGTGTTTTTTCAGTATAAAATGAATGTAATATTATATTATATTTTTATTAGACACGTGTTACCAGCGACATATATCTATTGCAAGGGATTACCAATAAAAAAAATAAAAAATCGACCTGTAGTTAACCAAGCATCAACATTCCAATGGACAGGTTTAGACCAACAAATTATAAATGTTAATTTTATCGAGCGCGAAAAGATTTTTCATAAATGGGTTAAAGTCACCCGCGGGGTGCAAAGTCACCCGTATTTACGGTACTTATAAGATCAAAATTATTTACTCACTTTATTCTGATATGTATAAAGTAAACTATAGTTTTTAAGTTACCTATTAGGCTTTTATTTGAGTTATATTTTTAATATTTTGAGACTGGATATAAGAAATTTTCTAAGGAAAGAATTTTTGTTATTATAAAAAAATAGTAGGTAATTTAATTCTGATTTTTTTACAAGTTTTAGAAAATAATATTTTTAAAATTTATCTAGTTGACAGCTGTCAACCTTATTTTTTTTAAAATTTAAATTTAGCAATAGCTACACCTAGGTGTAGATTAAAATGTTTCATTATAAACTTTAATACTATACAGGTTGTTTAACATTCCATTAAAAGTTTCTGGGGAAAGAAAAAAGATATCGACCAGAAGTGACATCAACTTTGTTATTTTAAATAGAACACCCATATGGGGTGATTTACATTTTTAAATTCTACATAAAATTCTAAGTAAAATAACAATACCGTGTCCTATACCTAAATTTAGGTGAAATTTAAGTGAAAAGTTTTGGGGTTATTAATTTTATTCATTAAAATTTGAGAAATGCGTGTCAATCTAAAATAGCCTATAACTTTTTTGTTATTAGGTTTGAAAATAATTGGGTGAAATATTTGGAATCTTTAAACATTGTTTTAAAGTCCCTTATCAATTCATTAACATTTTTTAGCAAATTACCTAACAAAACTCAGGGCAAATTAGGCTAACTTGAAAAGTTAAAAAACCTTTCAATTAATGTACCTAACTATTTCCTATACTTAAGTTAATATTTAAGGGATATTTCTAAAATTTTAAATATTATTTTGTATCAAACCTGTGATGGGTGAGTTGTTGGTATCTATGTATAGTTACCATATAATCTGTCATTGTTCAAAATTTAATGGAGTCAATTTTTCAGGGTGTTATAAACAATTTCTTGATTAATTAAGTGTTTTGTAAACAATATTACTAATAAAAATAGCAGTCAAAAACTTATAAAAAAAATTGGTTTCAAATCAATACCTTTTTTTGTTTCTCATGACCTATGCATGACCTATCAGAAAATAAAAACTTGACCTTGGTAAAAATCGCTTGTTTTTGAGATATTGGCATTTTTATGAAATTACAGCCACAAGATTCCCTATTCCATATTATAAGATTCTATAGAATCTTATAATATGGAATAGGGAATCTTGTGGCTGTAATTTCATAAAAATGCCAATATCTCAAAAACAAGCGATTTTTAATATATTAAATGTTGCGCAACCCAAAATGTGCCTGCTAATGATTGCAGTTCAAAATAAAACTAATAGTTGTTTTATAACATTTGAAAACAAACAATTTAGCCCAATTTTTATTAGTTAACTTTGACTGTTCAGACTATAAAAAAATATGCCACGCTAAGTTAACTTGGCAAAATATAAATAAAAATGAAAATGGTATAACATTGGCAATTTACTAACATGTCATTAACTTTAGCCACTAGATCAGTGGTTATGGGCCAATCCGGTCAATTAGGTCGATAACCACTAATTCTAGTGGCTAACGTTAACGACTCGTGTTAGTGAATTGGCCCGATTCTTTACTTTAAAGAAAAAGAGTGGCGGCTCGTAATCTTAATGGTAAAGAAGGTTCACAATTTTAAAAAAGCGACACAAAATTTTTTTGAGTCTTGCACGACTATTGTAACTTTTTTAATCTTTTAAAACAATATCGGATTAAATTTTGTAGCAGTGGCACTCGAAAAACTGATCTAAGATGTAAAGTTTTACAAAATTCATAAAAATGACAATATCTTAAAAACTAACGATTTTTTGCTAACGTAATGTTTTGATTTTTTGATTGGTCATGACTTGGCCTGTCAGTCCTCCACAGGATTTCGTTGACTTTTGGGACACCCTGTATATAGAATTTATATGGTATTTTATTTTAATAAATGAATAATTTTAATATTCATTATTTTTTTTATTTGTAACCTGTTAATTTTAAATAAGAATATAATTTTAATAACAATATGAAAAAACTATTACCATTGAGTGAACGCTATTACTTTATATTAAGGAATCCACTATTACATTTTTACCCAATCTAAAAAACATATATAAATAAGATATTTTAAAATAATGTTTTTTAGAGCAATCAATATTTTTCGTAAAAATATTCACATCCATCAACCGTTCGGCGCAATTAAAAAAATACTACCAAAAATGTCAAAAAGATATTCTACTAAAAAAATGGCGAGACCAATTGGAAATCGAACACGAAGACTCGGTAGTTCAATTGGTCCATAACTATTTCAACGTCCTACTATCGAATTGGCACAATCAGTGCAAGTGGTTTCATCAAGTGTTTGGAAACGACGCTTCCCTTGAATTGTTTGTTGATACCTATATCGACGTGCTGTCTTCACTGGAACCATCGATAAACGTCTGCGCAGACGCAGCATTAAAGCAGGTTGGAGACAAACTGAGTCTATTGCACGAGCTTAAGGAAACCACTAAACAGTTTGCCAATAGTCTTATAAAACTGCTTGAACCTGGTAAGATATACTATAGTGTTTAAGGGAAAAGTCTAAAGGTTTAATGTGATATTTTATATCTATGCCTATAGGCAAGACAGGAATAACTAATCCTTAGACTTAATACTTGGCTCTAGGATTCAGATATATGGTTACTCTGTTTTTTTCTATTTTCCATGGTTTCTTATAATTGTTTGCTTTCCCACTGGGAAAAATAATATTTCTACAATGTTACTGAACGTTACATTTGTTAGATGTAATGTTACAAAAATCCTTGTGGCAATGTTGCAGGAACATTGCAACAAAGCCTTATGTCCGGCTCAGGAACATTACATTTACAAATAAAATGTTGCTTAAATGTATTAATTGCAATGTTACTAAATGTTATTTTTGTTATTGTAAGGTTCCTGCAACATTACATTTGTTAGGTGTAATGTTACAAAAATCCTTGTGGAAATGTTGCAGGAACATTGCAACAAAGCCTTATGGTTCAGGAACATTACATTTACAAATAAAATGTTGCTTAAATGTATTAATTGCAATGTTACTAAATGTTATTTTTGTTAATGAAAGGTTCCTGCAACATTGCAATTAAATTAATATGAATTATTATAATAATAATTAATTATAATTATTTATCCGTAAGCTATAGGCCTATTATATATATATATATATGCACGGCTATCAATGCGAAGCCCGGTGCATTATACTGGCTAGTCGAAGCCCGGTAATGCGGGACGGGGCGGTTAACTGTTCGTTGGTGCATAAACAACAAGAGACACACTCCGCTGTGTATCAGAAGCCCTGCGGTGTTGCCAATGTCTAAATTTATAATTATAGGCAAATTTGATTTAAAATACCTAGACTATACCTAAACTTAACCTATATTTTTAAATAATGATGTTGCTATACTTAAATATTTAATAATATTGTTGAATTATAATTATTATAATAAAAATTATTTTAATAATAATTATTATTAAATTAATTATAAGTCATTATTTAAAAATATTGTCTAAATTTATAATTATAGGCAAATTTGATTTAAAATACCTAGACGATACTTAAACTTAACAATATTCTTAAATAATGACGTAGGTATACTTAAATATTTAATAATATTGTTGAATTATAATTATTATAATAATAATTATCGTTAAATTATAATTATTATAAATTATAATTATTATTATTATTATAAATTATTATTATTATTAGGTCCAATGACTAATGCACCAATGACTAATGCACCAATGACTAATGCACCATACCCACCAACACTGACAGACAAACTGTTTCGACCTGTTTGGTCTCATCAGTGTCAGGCAGTCGGTGACGGGAGACACGCATCAAGCTCGGACTGTTCACTTATAAAGATATAAATGACCAGGACAGCGGCGAGATGCATCGGCAAGTCAGTCTGCAAACAATATTGCAAAAATTATCTTAATGCAATATTTCGAATGAAACATAGTCCAAAACTAAAGTTATAATTATAAATGTAATATTATAGTTACAATGTTCCAAAAATCTTGAAAATTAAATGTTTATATTGTTTATATAAAGCAACATTTCAAAAATCATCTTAATGTAATATTTAGGATGAAACATTGCCCAAAACTTATCAATGTAATATTATAATTGCAATGTTCCAAAAATCTTGCAAATTAAATGTTTATATTGTTTATATAAAGTAACATTGCAAAAATCATCTTAATGTAATAATAACTTATTAATGTAATATTGCAATGTTTCAAAAATATTCCCAAACATTCCAAAATAAATGTTTCTATTGTATATTTAAAGTAAAGTTGCAACATTTTTCTTTTGAAACTTGTGTTAATATTTCAATTTCAAACATTGAAAAAAGCCCAAGCAGCATTTTTGGTTCCAAAAACCATTGCCAAAGTGGTGATAACTTTAAATTAGTTAAGTATACTAAACAGCTACTTTAATTTTTACTTAAAAGTAATTCTAACTTTTAAATAGCAATATTTTGTAACAGAAACTTAATTTTTCCTTAAATTGTTACTATAAAGTAATAAACATTTAAGTAAAACTTGGTTGCCCCCAAAAAGACTTTGCAACTTTAAAAAAGATGTTATAAGTAAAAAAAACTTTCAAGTAAATTTAATTTGTAGCAGTTACTTTCGGTTGCTACCTAAAGATTACATTATAATTATTTTTACTTTGTAGTCCCTTTGCAAGTTAAAATCTCGAAACTGGAACATGAGTTAAAAACTACAAAGTTAATAACTTAAAAGTTATTATTTTAGTATTTGGAACGTTTATGGTACTAACCAAAACAACCGTGAAGTGGAAAAAAACTTTAAAGTAGCGAAAACTACTTCAAAGGAAAATGCTTCTTATCGGCCATTTTTTACTGTACAGTACCACGTGGTAATGTAAATAATAAATTATTTTAATTGTTTGTAAATGGTTCTTTACTTTTTAATAAATAGAAATATTGTTGGCAATAGACGGTATTAATAATTAAATAAAAAAAATAATAATAAATATTAAGATTTTTTTATTTATAAACATTACTAAATAAATAATTTGTTTATACTTAAATATTGATGAAGCGCATTTATTTTACAAAAACTTAATTCATAAGTTCAACAGTAAAATTTAAAGGGTTTATAAATCTACCTGTCTAATTAAATATTATATTGTTATTCTGGAAGTTATAAACTACCAGTACATATTTAATAAACGACGACATTGAAAAGCCAAGTCCGTAGTGGTTCCATTTAAAAAAGGAGGGATAGTATAATCTAATATAAGTTTGACAAAGACAGTTAATATAGAAGTAAAAACAAATAATAAAAGTAATTATAACGCTCTAGCAACGATATTGGAACGTTCTAGTAACGTAGCAGCTACGTCCCAAATAGTAGCAGGGTTGGTAGCTAGTGACATATCGATGGTTATTTGACAAAACATCGTAAGCGACAAAACCTAAATTTTACAGGAGAGATTTTTTTCGTGTGGGAGCTTTATTTTTAAAGTTATTTATCTGAAAACTGGTGAGGCATTATTTTATTAATGTAGAATTCAAATATTTTAGTAAGATCGAATCCAATCTAAAATTTTCATTAAATTTTGTGGCATACAATATTTTATAAGAACATCTTTAGGAAAATATAAAATTGTCGCTTAAGTTACATTTTCGTTACTTTGTGGGATATAGATTTGATGATTACTTTTGTCAAAACATCGTTGACGACATTTATTTTTTACTTTTATTATTAAATAAAAAAAATTACAAAAAAATTAATTTATAAAATATCACCAACGATATTTTGCCAAACAATGTTTGAAAATTAAATTCTACAATGAAATGAAATGTACATTAGCTTTCTTTGAAAAAACAAACGATTTTTATTTACAAACCAGTATCTAACCCATGGAGCCTACACAAGGAGCCCAAACTTAAGAGGGGAAATTGACAAAACCTGCTCTCTAAATTGTACAAATTAAGTTTCTTTTTTTCACCACCAGCGGCGCTGATTGTCGATGCTAGCGTTTCGGTACCAATGAAACAATTGTTTAAGAATAAACAGAACACCAGCGCCCTCTTATCTTAGGAAGATTCTTGTTTACATGATGTTCGGACTCCTTGTGTAGGCTCCATGATCTAACCCATGGTACTATGATCTAACCGTTATAAATTTGAGTCAAATTATTTGACGCTATAACAACATACAATTACTAAAAAAAAACACTTTTAACGAAGGAAAAAACAATTATAATTAGGATAATTATTAATAATGCAATGAAAAAAAGGAATTATAAGCTTTTGATCAAATAAAGTATTGTTTTAAAACTTGGTAGCAATCACCACGATGCAGGTATACTCAAGAATAAACTGTTTAGAGCGGGAATAACGCCTTGATAGATCAAGGCGGGAGCACAATATTATCGTAAGTGACACAATGTTAAATCGCAAACGCCATGTCCCGGAGTTGCTTACAATTATTTGTCGGGAACATACAGGCGCTTACATTATAAATCAGTAACAAATTAAAAAGAAGAGGCGCTTACAATAATAAAAATATTCAAACTGACCAATATTAGATTCCAAAATTGGGATAACTATTATGTTAACATGAGCAGCTTATCGTAACTGACACTTTTATAAAATAAAAAGTAATCAACAAAATTGTCGCTTACGATGTTTTGTCAAATAACTATCGATATTTGCTACCTTTTTGGAACTCAATAATTGTTCCCCACTTTAGTCGTAACGTAGTAATGAAAGAGTAATATAAAGAGACCAGCGACTGTCGCAAAACACTTTGAAGTTTCTTCAATAGCTGGCCATACACAGACGTTATTTTGCGCGGTTTATCGTGGCGTGTTGGGATGTAGCGGTTATAGACCAGTGCAGAAGCCTTTAAAAATGGTAAAAAGAGAAAAAAAAATACAGTAGGATGAAACCCATTGGAAAAGGAGGGGAATATAATAAAAATTAAAGGAAAAATAAATTACGGGCGATCTGAGTTCGGGAAGTGGGAGGGGGGGGGGTTTTAAGGGTAAAAAATGGTTTATCTCGATTTCCGGCAAAACTACAAGTCCTATGGAAAAAAGTTAAATATCAAAGTTGTAGGTAATAAAAAGATCTACAACTTTTGTATTTACAATTTTTTCACATAACCTCAAAATTTATGTGAAAAATTCAAAAAACCAAGTTTTTGGTTTTTTATTTTTATCTTTTTCAAAAAAAAAATTTTTTTCCACGAAATTTGGCGAAAACTTACCTTTTTATGTCCCAAATGTACTGTAATTTATTTGATTTGAAATATTTATTATTTCGCCTTATTTTGACTTAATATCAAAAAAGCACCCTAATTTTCAATCGAAAATTCTCGCGTCAAAATATCAGCTTTTTTCAAAAATTTGGTGTGCTTTTTGTTCGATGAACTCTCTACTTTCTGATGGTGTAAAAAAATATATACATTACTATGGTAAATGTTCTCAGAAAATACAAATAATATTATAATGAATAACGTAATCAGAATGAAGTATCTAAATTCAATAGTATGATTTACATGTATTTTTATATTTTATGAGATTTTCTGACATAAATGTTATTAGAATTTAATAAGAAAACTTTTTAACTAAAAAAAATTGCAACAATCCCATTTTTTTGATGAAATTGTACATAATGATTAAAATAAATTTTCGAATTCGAGTTTTTTTCGTTATTCATTATAATATTTTTTGCATTTTCTGAGAACATTTACCATAGTAATGTATATTTTTTTTACACCATCAGAAAGTAGAGATTTCAACGAACAAAAAGCACACCGACTTTTTGAAAAAAGCTGATATTTTGACGCGAGAATTTTCGATTGAAAATTAGGGTGCTTTTTTGATATTAAGTCAAAATAAGGCGAAATAATAAATATTTCAAATCAAATAAATTACAGTGTATTTGGGTCATAAAAAGGTAAGTTTTTACCAAATTTCGTGGAAAAAAATTTTTTTTGAAAAAGATAAAAATAAAAAAACAAAAACTTGGTTTTTTGAATTTTTCACATAAATTTTGAGGTTATGTAAAAAAATTGTTATTACAAAAGTTGTAGATCTTTTTATTACCTACAACTTTGCCATTTAACTTTTTTCCATAGGACTTGTAGTTTTGCCGGAAATCGAGATAAACCATTTTTTACCCTTAAAACCCCCCCCTCCCACTTCCCGAACTCAGATCGCCCGTAATTTATTTTTCCTTTTATTTTTATTATATTCTTCTCCTTTTCCAATGGGTTTCATCCTACTGTTATTTTTTTTGGTTTCAAAAATTATCGACCCTGGTCTATTAGTATGCACGAAAGAACGGCATGGCAAAAAAAGCGTCATGTTCCATACACTTGATAAAGTATTCAAATGATTTAGCAAGGGATTGTGCGTAGTATATCAGTTTCAAAGGAAAAATCGTATGTGAGTGGGCAAAAAGTGTTATTTATCGAGTCGTTTGAAACTGCATGTGATCATGTACAAATTTTCAACGTGAAATTTTGCCAAGCAAAGGTAAACCGTGACGCGGAATGTGGCGTGTGGACACTCCACACTCCAGAGGAAAGCACGTCTAAAATCGCTTCCCGTTCTATCATTGCGCGCGGCGATACTCACTCACGTACATGATTTTCCATATGTTTTTGCAGATAACACGATAAACCGCGCGCAATGACGTCTGTGTATGGCCAGCTAATAGCTGGCCATACACAGGCGTTATTTCACGCGGTTTATCGTGGCGTGTTGGGATGTAGCGGTTAGTATGCACGAAAGAACGGCATGGCAAAAAAAGCGTCATGTTCCATACACTTGATAAAGTATTCAAATGATTTAGCAAGTGATTGCCCGTGGTATATCAGTTTCAAAGGAAAAATCGTATGTGAGTGGGCAAAAAGTGTCATTTATCTAGTCGTTTGAAACTGCATGTGATCATGTACAAATTTTCAACGTGAAATTTTGCCAAGCAAAGGTAAACCATGACGCGGAATGTGGCGTGTGGACACGCCACACTCCAGAGAAAAGCACGTCTGAAATCCCTTCCCGTTCTATCATTTCGCGCGGCGATACTTACGTACATGATTTTCCATATGTTTTTGCAGATAACACGATAAACCGCGCGCAATAACGTCTGTGTATGGCCAGCTAATAGTCCCATATACGTAACAAATACTTAAATTGTTGCTTGGGAGTTATGTCTGCAATATTATAATTGTAATGTTTAAAAACTTGTATGCAACATTTTATACTAAATGTTACAAATATAACATTGTAAAAACTTTCCATGTGAATCTTTAAATAATGTTTCAAATTTAAGGTTGTTGGAAATTATTATGTGCAATATTTCAAATGTAACATTTCATTTATGTTAATGCAAGTAGCATAGGAAATATTTTATTTGTAAAGTCGGCGAACATTGCAGCAATATTTTGTAAGGTTTCTTTCCCAGTGGGTTTTTTCAAGATGCTTCATTAAAATTAATTATACAGTTAAATATACAAAATATTAGGGACACAATTCAGATCATGTAATTTTTAGAGCTCTTTTAATGCCCAACAGAAAAATAAATTCTTATTTTTTTTAGTTAAATTAGACAATAACAAACTAAGCCTTATGATGAAGGCCGTTTACAAGCCTATGGTTCCATATGTTGGAAAATTTGCCGCCTACGAGCAGGCTAACCTGATGAAAAAACTGTCAACGTTAAATTGCATGAAAGAAGAACTTCCTGACACCATTCAAGCTCTTGGTCTAAGTACTCCATCCATTATAGAAATTTGCAGGACAGCAAAAAAACATTGCTACGAAATCACTGAAAATTGCGGCTATTGCGGACTCTTGATCGCTTTGCGAGCGTTTTTACTTGGCTACGCAGATTTTTACAGAGTTGCTCTCAGGCAACTAGACCGAAATAAGAAGAACGAAGAAGACTGGGTCACTTTTCAGATGTGTTTTACTCTACTGCAAAGCGCTGGCGAGGTTCTAATAAATTTCCAACAGCTCGAAAAAGATTTAACCGCGACGGTATTAGACATAAACCAAAAACACAACGCAATAGAGTTTAAGTATTTACTTCTCAATGCTTCCGACTTGAAAGAATTTGAATCGTTGGTGAAATGCGTTACAGAAGGCACGAAGTTGTCGCTTTTGGACCAAGCAATCAACGAGTTCAATCGGCTGTGCTCCGATATTCATCACACCACTTACCAGGTCGTTTTTGCACCGATATCCGTGCAATTAGAGGTGGTTCAGTCGCCCAAAACTTGGTCGCAGTTTGCTAATTCAGCTCTCCATAACTCTGATTTACCTGACTACAGTTTTACGCCACAAGAATATATTACACAGGTAGGATGGTTTGTTAAAAGTATTTTACTATTTTTAGTATTTTTTGTGGAAAAGTTAACCATTAAAAACAGTTTTAAAATACTAAATGTAAAAATATTACAAGATATATAATTATATTTATATTTCTAATAATAATTATTATTGTAAATCAAAAATATTAATAACTTATAATAAATATCATGGAAAACCACGTACCTAGGTATACAAATAAACAATTTGCACAATTTTAAACGTTCAAATGTAGTTTAAAAAATCTAGTGATTAAAAAAAATCGAATATATTTTTTTTACTTCCGACACTGAAAAATTGGTTCTTAGGCACCTCTAGAAAGTGCTCACCAAATTTGACCTCTTAATATTAATAGGAAGATCCTCCTCATCACGGTTTTCCATTTTCTCTTTGGTCCCTTATAAAAAAGACCATATTTCAATATTAATCAATCGTTTGACCAAATCTTTATACATAAATGTATTGAATTTAAAACCTAAAATTTGGAAGCAATTTTTAAACAAAAAAGGATAAAAGAGTTTTAAAAGGTAGAAAGGTGTACCTGGTACCCGATAACTTTGAAACGCTGAAATGAGTATAGGGGTAAACGATCTTTCGAAAGGTCCAGGCGGAATTGCCATGGTTATTATTTTTTGAAGTCGAGCTTCACTACACAAACGCCCATGCATGATTTTTGGATGCTATGTGTCTGATGTCGGCCAACTGATTCACACCTTGACGACGTGTTTAGAGTAGCATGTAGCCGGATTTAACTAAAATTGTCAAAAGTTGTCCACAATTAACGTTTAAATGTTGAGTTTTATTGTAATATAGGTCGTTGCGGCCCGCCTGAGGTAGCAGTCATACATATTTGGCTTGAGTAAGGCTTTAAAAGATATTCCAAATATAAGTTTGAAGAATTTATCAAAAAAAATTTTTTTTTAATAAAAAATAATTTTTGTCACATGATGATGACATATTTAACGCTCTACAAAAAAGGCCGGATGTGTTTAATTGATTACTCTAACCGTTGAGAAGATATTCGTATTAGTACGTGTCAACGGTTAAAGTAATTAATTAAGCACATTAGACTTTTTTTGTAGACCGTTAAATTTCCTACAAAAACATGTCTTACTCATTTGACAATAATAATTATTATATTTCAATGAGTTACAAAATTATCAAAAAAAAAATATTTTTTTTATATAAATTCTTCAAACTTTGATCTTGAATATCTTTTAAATGCTTAGAGTAATCACTTAAACACATCAGTCCTTTTTTGTAAAGCATTCAATTTCCTACAAAAATATGTTTAAAGATTTGATTGATTAATAATGAAATATGGTCTTTTTATAAGGGCTTAAACACATTAGTCCTTTTTTGTAGAGCATTTAATTTCCTACAAAAATAAACTACCCGTCAAAATTAACGCATAATAAGTAAAAAAATTCTAACTCTAAAACGCCTTTACCAATCTTTATGAAATGTTGTATAAAAATACTTCAACTTATGTATTTATCAATTTACGTGTTCGAGGGTTATTCGAGAAAATATTTGTAAAGCTCTTTTATTTAATAATTAAAAAAACGTTCGAAAAATTACTTTAAGTTATTAAAAAATATGCTGTTAAAGACCGTATTTCCTTTAGTATACCCTGAAAATTTTGTACAAATCAAACGAACAGTAACGAAGATACAACGCTTCAAAATCGGTAAAAATGACCCCTTTTTTATTATTTTGCTGAAAAGTGGTCATTTTTGACGACTTTGAAGCGCTGTAATTTCGTTACTGTTCGTTTGATTTGTACAAAATTTATCAGGGTATTCTAACAAAAATTTCACAACATATTTTTTATTTACTTAAAAATAAATTTCCCTATAAAAGTTTTTTTATTATTAAATAAGAGGGTTTAAAGATATTTTCTCGAAAAACCCTTGAACACGTAAACTGAGTTATAAGTTGAAGTATTTTTATACAAAATTTTATAAAGATTGGTGGAGGCGTTTTAGAGTTGGATTTTTTTACTTGTTATGCGTTAATTTTGACGCGCATTGTATATACAAAGATTTCATTAAACGATTGATTAATAATGAAATATGCTCTTTTTTATAAGGGACTAAAGAAAAATCCTAATGCGTACTGATACGAATCAGACCTTTTTTGTAGAGCGTTCAATTTCCTACAAACTACAACTCATTTTTCCATGAGTTACAAAAAAATTAAAAAAATGTTTTTTTAATGAATTCTTCAAACTTTGATCTTGAATATCATTTAAATGGTTAGAGTAATCGCTACAAAAATATGTTTAAAGATTTGATTGATTAAATAATGAAATATGGGCTTTTTTATAAGGGTCTAAAAAATGGCAAACGGATCTTCCTATTAATATTAAGAGCTTAAATTTGGTGGGCACTTTCTAGAGGTGCCTATTTTTCAGTGTCGGAAGTAAAAAAACAATATTCGATTTTTTTATCACCCTAATACACATGTATTAAAACTACAGACCAAAATAAGGTCAATTAAATTAAAGTTAATGAATATTTATGCTGATACTTTAATTTTAGATTTTTTATGTTTGTTTTTATAATAATTTCCTGTAAAAAATTATACTGGTGCATACAAAAATCAGAAAATATTTACACACATTGTACATCCATAAATTCGATAGTTTGTTTAAAAGTTAACCATGGTTGACTAACAGGTGAATTTTGGACTTTTGGACTGTTTATTTTAAACTGACGAAGTTTCGATTTATACTCGTCTTCAGGTAATTACTAATTGAAAGGTCGTAAAAACACAATTTAAAATAAATACAATGCAAGTCCAAAATTCACATGTGAGTCATTCCGAAATAGATCTAAAACCTTCCAAGCTTAGAAGAAAGAAATTTTTTCTTCTAAGTTTCCAAGACTAAACTAAGCACGCTTTCGATCTTTTCACAAGCGCGCTCGAGGCCTTCCGAAACAAGCGTTGGAGTTCGATTTTATCCTTCAAGTGCTGTACATCGCTCCAAGAAGAAGTCTGAAAATAGTTGACTTTGACTCAGGAAGGATAAAATGGGGTTCCCGGTATATAAATATACCGGTATTTCTCGACAATATCGCAAGCTTTGACCTTTCAGCGAGGTATTTTGTGCAATCGATTTAGTGGATGTTTCTTGAAACATCACAAATTCCACATGTATCTACTGGTGACTGGTTAAAAGACCAAATCCATTACTGAGGGAGAGGCTTATGGTAGTACCATAATCGTACTCCGGTCGTAGTGGATAAAAAATATATATAGAGAGAGAGATAGAAAAAAGAACAGTAAATATAGCTATTTTTAAGGTTTTCCTGAAGTGGGTGTTGAATGATCAGAATTTGATAAAAATTTACAAATAAATTCTTTATGATGCTTCACATCATCCTGTTTAATTTAATAAAAATTCTTGTCGTTGGAAGCCGAGTAAATACATTTCAAAGTTGATTAAAAATACACGGGTTCTTATGGCAGCACGTGGATTGTTACTCTTTTCTCCAACCAAATAATTATTGGTAATGATAGGATTGCAATGAAAAATGAGTATATCGTGGACAGGGCCGGATTTAGGCATGGGCCACATGGGCCCGGGCCCAGGGCGGCAAATTTTTAGGGGCGGCAAATTTTGAAGGCCAGTTAAAATTTTGCTAAAAAATCAAGAGCGTTTTATGCAGAATTTTTGTTTTCACTCAGATTTATACACTAATTAAAACTATTAAAAGTGGGAAGAGAAGTTTTTTAATACATTATATAATTTTATATCAGACTACACTATTATTCTGCGTAGTGCCTCACTGCGTAGAAGGGCGGCAGTCGATGTACACGAGGCGAGTGGGGCGCGACTCTAGCTTATTCGCTGAGTCATTCGTTATTCGGGGTAATGATACGTTGGGCCCATGGGCGGCAAATTCGTAAATCCGGCCCTGATCGTGGAGCGTAATTTCAAAATATGATCAATATAAGGATCAAAACTGTGAATTCACGAAATTTGACGCTTGCACTGGAGATTCATGGCAACGTCGCTGATGTCAGATAGGAACGCTACAACCCGGTGCTACAAAGGTGTGAGTGAGAACGTATGTAGCAAGCGTAAGGGTTGCGACTGTTATTGGCGAAATTTTTAAAAGCGATGTTATAGATTTTTATTTATTTACATACACTATAACAACGCCTCATGAGCTGACAATGCAATTACGTTGAAAAATAATAAAAAAATCGCCTAAAAATGGAATTTATACCCATATTAATTTAGGTTGCAAGTAGTTGGAACGGATTTTAAATCTAATTCTGTAGTATAGGAAACAGTTCTACCACGATCGAAACACTAAAACTCATGCCCGGACAACCTTAAATGGGCCAGACCACATTCCGTACCGGCACTATGCCTGTGTTTGCTGGGAAGGGTCGTCCATAAAGTACGTCAGACGTTTAGGGAGAGGGAGGGGGTCAAGACTTTGTGGCATCGTGTGCTAAATAATGATATTATGCGTGACCCTGCTTAAAATACCCCATAGAGACCTATACAAAATATTCTATAGGGCGCTACCGGTTTCAATATGTGCATTTGTCCAAGGTTTTTTCCGGATACAGCCCGATATAAAATGTATAGGAAATTACCTATAGGCACACCATAACTTTTACATTTTCCCTATTGAGACTGATAGAAAATAACTCAATGAAGGATATATAGGGATATCCCTATAGAACAACCATAAAACATTTGACAAAATTTTATTAAAACCTATGGGGTCCTATAGGGAAAAAACTAATTTCTACATTTATGTGTATTTTCCCCATTGAAGCCGATAGCAAATAAATCAATGGTGGATATCCCTATAGAACAACCATAAATCTCAACTATGGGTCCTATACAAACCGATACACCCTATAGAAACACCATACATCCCGATACAAATATCTATCGGTTTGAACAGGGTCTCTATGGGGTATTTTAAGCAGGGGACACGGGGGGAGGGAGTGTATGCAATTCTTTAAAAAGGTGCGACGTACTTTATTGCAGAGACCCTTGTCTCTGCTTTATAACAACGCGGAATTGTTAAGATTATATCTCGGACCCAAAACTGTTTTTTTCAGATTTACTGATACTTCTTAAGAATTTTTTCGGCAAATTAATCATAAAGCTAAGATTAAAGTATCAGAAATGATTGATAGAACTATATACATAACATTTTGAGTTTGTGGTTTGGGGAATCGTTGTTTCCATTAAAATGCCCTAATTCTTTGTATTTGCATTCAAATATAAGACGATTTTTAGTAATAATTTATTATTTAAACATTCTTTTTTAGATTGGTCAATATATAATGACGTTACCCCAACATTTGGAGCCATTTTTGTTTAGAGAAAATCCAGCGCTCTCGTGCGCGTTAAAATCCGTAGATCAAGATTATAGCAATGCTGCCGATATCGAAGGAGCTTTGGCCGACGTATTTTTAAAGCTTGTTGCAAAAGGCACTTGCCAAAACTTTTCCGACAAGATCCTTTCTATCTGCGAGCTAAGCCAACCGTCCAGCAGACAACTGGCACATGATATTTGTAAGATTGTTTATTATATTGGTCTGAAAATAACATTTCCGAGAAAGTCAATATTTTCTGTTTACTGCACGGAAGTGCCCTTGCGTAAATCCACAAAAAAACCTTGCTTACCTATATTGTAAACATTGCTTCTGTGTTGATATAAGCCTTATAAAAACACAAAAACAATGTTTATAAATACTTTTCTGTGTTTTTTTTACTGTAACCAAATACAACATCTCTGAATAATTTCAGATATTTATTTTAATCACTATATCTGCAAGTCTAATTAACTCTTCCAGAAGACTTTCAAATCTACTAAGACTTTTTATTTTCTGACTTAAAAAGTCTTTTTCCTTAATACAAGGGGCACTTTGCCTTCCTACCTCATTTCCCATACTAATATAATGCTTGATTTTTAGGTTACTTAAATAATGTTTTGAAGGACTTGGGTTTTTCAGTATCAGAAAACCTTCAACAATTGGCTGTATTATTAAAAATACCTTCCGACCAATACCAGGCGCAAAGTGTGGGATGTTCAGCAAGATATGTGGCTGCTGTACGACAAATGAGAAACATAACTTCAAATTAATGTGATACTTATTTTATTCATTAAAAAACAATAAAAACCTTAATTTAATTCTGGCGTCCAAAATTTAAATGTCCTATCATACGATGCGGTCGCAACAAATTGATTGTCAGGCGAAATGTCAACAGACATAATTTTACCGTCGTGCCCCGATAACGTTTTTAAGGGTTGCCAAGTCCTGGTGGTCCACAGCTTTACAGTGTTGTCATAGGAGGAGGTGACCAAAAAGTTGCCGCTTTCTTTCTGGAACTTCACTTCGGATATGAGATTTGTATGAGCGGGAATCGTGTAAAGCACCGATCTTTTCCGCAGATCCCATATTTTGCATGTGTTATCTTCGCTTCCGGTCGCAATGTGGTAGCCGTTTGGTGAGAAATCAATACCGAAAATCGCTTTAAGATGACCCTCCATGAACATGATGCATCTTCCTGTCCTTAAATCCCAAACACGCCCAAACGAATCCAAACCACTAAAACAACAATTTATTTACCACTCCTGCATAATACAGCTACTTTGATTGAAGCATATTACTCTATTCTCAAAACGCCCACTGGCATTTAAATGTGACACAAAGCCCAACATGACGTAGAAGTGATGTTAGATCGGTTAGATATGTTTAGATATAGTTTAAAGGAAACTTGTATTATTTTCTAAAAATAATATAATTTTGTATCAATATCACTTTCTTAATGCTCAATTAGTTAAGTGCAATGAGATCGATATTAAATTGGACAAAAATAAGAATGCAACAGTTAACTTTTCGTCAAGAACAAATAAAAATGATCGAAATATGACCATCTTCGAATTATCTACACCTTTGCAAAAAATACTATGAATAAGTACCAAAGTTATGACCCTTTATGTACAAGTGGCGAAATTCAACTTTTCGTTTGTTTTTGGACTTTTACGTTAGGTATTCATACTGTAGTTTTATGCAATGAATTTACGATTTTATTTAAGGAAAAAGTTTTTGTGTGATGTCAATGGAGTCAATATGCCAATTTTTTAGGTTTTATAAAACTTTTATTTATTGTATTGTGTTATAATATAACACAGTAGTTAAAAAATTGTCTTCTTCACGTATATTTCCTTTTTTGGATTTAATAGTCGTCGAAGATTGGCTGAATAAAAATTGATATTTTTTCTATTCTTTTACATTACATTTTTAGTTGAATATCTTTTATTACTTTGATCAACATGCGTAAATATATCCCTGAGAACCCGTTCATTGCATTGAATGGAATGCACAATTTCATTGAATAAAATTTATAATTTCATTGAATGAAATTATAAATTTCATTGAATGCACAATTCCATTGAATGGATTGCACAATTTCAACGAATGGAATTCAACTTGCTTATTTTAAATGAATGAAATACGCAAACCCAATTATTAAAATTTAAAATGTTTAATTCCAATCATTGTAATTGTGCATTCCATTCAGTGAAATAACGAAAGTGAATTCTATTGATTGAAATTGACGCTGTTCATTTCAAACATTAAAATTAGTGGATAATTTTCTTTACCAATCAGTTTAATTCAAACATTCAAATACAGCGAATTTCATCTAGCATAAATTTCAAACAATGAAATAACGCGAATTTACAAGTTTGTTGATTTTTTTACTTTAAAGTTGTTCGTTAAAATGATAAAACTGCGTTCCATTAAGTACTTCGTTTAAAATAAACTTTTAAATTAAATGAATTTGAAATTAATGCGGGATACACCGGTATTTTCATTAATAGTTTTAACGACAACTGCAATTTCATTCATTAAAATTCGTCCAATTTATAAGACTGGTTAATAAAAGGAACTGGGGAGTATAAAAAACGGTTTTTTAAGCTAAAATGCTCAATTCTCGGTTGCAATTGGTCGAACATCTAAAACCATATTTAAATAAACCAATCCGCATAAGTTAATTTCATTGATTGAAATTCAAGATGTTAATTTCGAACATTAAAATTAGTGGTTAATTTTCTTTACCAATCAGTTTAATTCAAACATTGAAATACAGCGAATTTCAAAGTTTGTTGAATTTTTTGGTTACTTTAAAGTTGTTTGATTAAATGGTAAAACGGCGTTCCATTGGATTCCATATTATACTGGCATACTCAATTAAACAAAGGTGGTGTAAATTAGACATTAGGGTGATTAAAAAAATCAAATATTTCGACCCTGAAAAATTGGTTCTTAGGCTTCTTTACAAAGTGCTCACCAAATTTGAGTTCTTAATATTATTAGGAAGATCCTCCTCATCACAGTTTTCAATTTTTTCTTTAATCCCTTACACATGAGACCTTTTTTTAGAGCGTTAATTTTCCTACAAAAATATGTCATACTCATTTTACAATAATTATTTTTCAATGAGTTACAAAATTATAAAAAAAAATTATTTATATATTCTTCAAACTTGAACTTGAATATCTTTTAAATGGTTAGAGTAATCGCTTAAACACAGTCCTTTTTTGTAGACCTTTCAATTTCCTACAAAAATATGTGTAAAGATTTGATTAAACAATTGATTAATAATGAAATAAGGTCTTTTTTATAAGGGAGTAAAGAAAAAATGGAAAACTGTGATGAGGAGGATATTCCTATTAATTTAAAGAGCTCAAATTTGGTGAGCACTTTCTAGAGGTGCCTAAGAACCAATTTTTTAGTGTCGGAAGTAAAAAAAAATATTCGATTTTTTTAATCACCCTAGTAGACATAATGTAAAAACATCACCAAAATACAAGGAGTTTCTCACAAACGAATCCCAAATTTCTGTTAATGCAACTAGCATTAATATTTTCAACGTGCAAATTACAATTTGTTACCCCCAATGCGATTTAATGTCTGAGAATTGAGAGTATAGTTAAATATGCGTGGATATTTTTTTCTATTATAGGAAACGATATTGCATTTTTCCACGTTAAGAGGGAGGTTGTTTATAGCACACTAGTTGTTCATTTTGTTTAGCTTCAATCATCAATGCAAGACATTTTTTTAGCTTCATCAGCATACAGCAAAATGTCGGAACTATCTCCGGCTACAATGTCATTTATGAATATAACAAACAGTAAAGGACCTAATATTGGTCCCTGTGGTACACCAGAAGATGGAGTTATTTCGTTAGACTTTGCACCATGTCATTCGACATATAGCTTGCAGTTTAGTAGATATGAAGAGAAGAGTTTAATAAAAGTTAATGAAAGTCCAAATGTACACAGATTTTGTAGAAGTATGCCATGGTCAAGCCTATCAAAAGCTTTAGAGAAATGTATGTGTATATAACATCTACCTTTACATTTTTATCAAGATTATCAAGATTAGTCAACCTAAGAAAATAGCCTATTGGTAAAAGCGACATGACACTGTAAAATTCAAAACTTGAACAAAAAAAACTTCATTAATTAATAAATAATTATCAAACAACTATTTCCTCAAAATGTATTTTAAATTAAATGCAAGTTACTACAATATACGCTACTAATCCAAAAATAAACGTTAAGTTAAATTTTCCTACTTTTACATAAACTGTCATAACTTTGTCATTTACCGATAGATTTTTTTCGTAAATACCTTATTAACTTTGTAAAAGTGCAACTTTATGTAGATAACTCAAATATGGCCATATTTCAATGATTTTTATTAATTCTTTGAGAAAAAAAACATTTACAGCATTCTTATTTTTGTCCAAAAAGAGGAATTATTTTAATATTCAAGCCCATTGCACTTAAAATAGTCAACTTATTGGGCATTAAGAGAGTGATATAATATATTTACTATATATAGTGTGTCTACTTAAGTTGACAACATATGGGAAACTTTCTTATTATTAATTGTTATTCTTTATAAAAAGTTCTGCATGTGCTACAATCTACAATAAATTCATCAGATATCAGTCATATACGAGGTTTGACAAAAAATATGAATTTGGTACAAGAGTAAAGTACCTTTATTTGTGACAATATCGAAAACTGTAATTATGAAAAGCTGTTCGGAATGAAAAACTATGTTTTAATATGCAATTACATCCTTCTACTTAAAAAAAATTTTTTACAAACTTTTCTTAAATTACCGATTAGCTGGCCATACACAGACGTTATTGCGCGCGGTTTATCGTGTTATCTGCAAAAACATATGGAAAATCATGTACGTGAGTGAGTATCGCCGCGCGCAATGATAGAACGGGAAGGGATTTCAGACGTGCTTTTCTATGGAGTGTGGCGGGTCCACACGCCACATTCCGCGTCACGGTTTACCTTTGCTTGGCAAAATTTCACGTTGAAAATTTGTACATGATCACATGCAGTTTCAAACGACTCGATAAATGACACTTTTTGCCCACTCACATACGATTTTTCCTTTGAAACTGATATACCACGGGCAATCACTTGCTAAATCATTTGAATACTTTATCAAGTGTATGGAACATGACGCTTTTTTTGCCATGCCGTTCTTTCGTGCATACTAACCGCTACATCCCAACACGCCACGATAAACCGCGCGAAATAACGCCTGTGTATGGCCAGCTATTATCTTTTTTATTTATTACAAACATGATAACCTTTCCGTTCCTTTCAAAAAGTTATAAGCAAATTCTGATGTTTTGACATTCAATGTCAAACATTTCTTGCTATCAACAAATCATTTGTTTGTCGGTGTAACCTAGATTACATGTAACCTAGATTACATGTAACTACAGTTACATTTGCATTGTTATGGTAAACAAAAAAGAAAAAATGATTTTTTCCATGTAAATGGAAGTAATTGCATAGAACGTAGTTTTTAGTTCTGACCAACTTTTTTTAATAAGAATTTTCGATATTGTCGAATATAAATGACTTGAATATAAAGGTGCTTTACTCTTGAGTAAGATTCATATTTTTTGACAAACCGCGTATACGACTGACACTTTTTTATATCTGATGATTGTATTTTAGATTTTAGAACATGCATAACTTTTTATGAAGAATAACTTTTTTTCTTAAAATTAATAATAAAAAAGTTTCACATATGTTGCCAACTTACACTGTATATTATGTCGGCGATTCGATTATATTTAATTTTACACTTTTTGTCACCAGATTTGCCATTTCTAACTTAAGATATAACCCAAATTGTAAAGCTACCATGAAAAAAAAATCTTATCTAAAAATATTATTTTCGAGTTTACATTAAAAAATAGTAGCACAGAGGGTTCATTCCTTTTTTATTAATTTGCAAACCAGTGTTATTAATATATATTTTATTATGTATATTATTATTATTATTATATTTTTATAAAATAATCTTTAATTAATCTGACATATACCTAACCTTAATTCTGCGTTATAGAGCTTCGGTCATCTATGGCTGCGTTCCTTATTCAAATGTCAAAGGCACGGTCTTATATACAGGTCTTGCAACTTTAAGCTTCGAGGTGGCTTCCTTAACGTGCCAAGCCGCTAGGTGGCGCTAAGATCGAAGGGGTAAAGTCAATTAAACTACTACTTAGTTAAATGTGGAACTACTGCATAACCATAACCTAACTTTTTAAATTCTTTTTCTATGTTTTGTTTACATTTTCAAAAATTTAATATTTGTGAGTTTGTTTCGGATAATTTACGTTAACAAAATAGGACAACAAAGTCTATACTCTATGCACAAAGTCCTCGGCCGTCACATGCCCAGACCAAACATGTTAATGTATAAAATACATACGTATATCATATATATGTTACGGCTAATGTGTGTGGATAGTTTATTAAGTAGCTGGGTAGTTTATAAACTAGCCAAACTGTCAGCTATTTTAATTGAAAACGTATTTTTAACTAAATTAGCGGCTAGTTTGTAAACCAACCAAGGGTCTTGGCTAATTTACTTGAAATTATTTAGGAATAGCTGGATAATTTGTAAACTATCCAATTCAATTTGGCTAATATGAAAACCAAAATTTCTAGTAACACAACAAACTAACCAACCAATCTGGCTAATTTATTAATAACCGATTTTTTTATTGTCTTGGCGGGGATGGGTTGATTGTTTATTTAAAATAATATTTATTTCACCAACACGATGTGCTTAATTATATAATAATCATACAAAATGTGAAGGTGTCAATAATATGTTTTTTATTGCACATTGCCATGTTTTTAACCGCTTCTTATTTGTTAGCACTTTAAACATGGACCGCTTAATTTTAAAGCCGGAACGATAGCTTTGCTGGTTACATTTTGGCACAACACAGGACTTCATGTCTATTAAAAAGCACAAATACAAATGTATAACAAGAACAAATATAACAAGAAAAAATAGAACAATATAATATAACAATAACGAATATCACAATAACAATAAGTAAAAACTCCCTGTAACAAAATACACAAGCTTGTTTATAAAAATGTAGGTTATGTTTCTTCACAGAACATAAGTAGTTAGTTCATTTGACCTTTATCCCATAGACTTTAAGAACTTAGAGCCGGTTTTACAATCGTTAGATTAAGTTAGCTTATTTGGCGGATAACTTTCATAGAAACCTTCTATCTAAGAAAATTATCCACCAGAGAGCTTATCTAACGATTGTAAAACCCAAAGATAAAGAAGGTAAAAACGACCTTTAAACATCTATGGTTCACCCTCAACTCGATGCGCCATCTGATGGGTTTCTCATTAGAGAGGTCACTTTTCCTATTGAAATTGGGCGAAGTTGCAAGACCTGTATATAAGACCGTGGTCAAAGGCCTTTTTGATGTTGAACCATGCACGTTATTCCAAGGGTTTGTTACACGGTGTGCCTGAACGAAGTTTGTGTCACATAAAAATGCCGCCAAAAACTGATTGCAGTTTCTTGTTTGGGACCCTTTGTTGACTTAAAAATTTTATGTTTATGATTTTTTTTTAAATTTTTGTTGAGAACACATTTTTACACCGATTTTTTAAAATTAGAGTATATTATTGAGAATACTTAAAGAATACTTTTTAATACTGTTCACATCATTTGATATATACAGGGCGAGCCAAAAATCGCTTATTTTTAATTCATGATTTTGGCATAACACGCAAAAAAGATTTATCCCCATTTTTTTTAGATATTTCTGCGTTTATCAGGTTAGAAAATGGCATTCTTGTTAACATTTTATAAAAAAATAGATTTTTAATAAAATTAAATAAAATAACGCTTAGAGAATATCTAAAATGTTGTTTAATTTAGGCTTTTTAGTAGTTTTTAATTTTGAACGAAAAACTGGTTAAAGTTTTTTGATCGGCACTCTTTGGAGATTTAAAAACGATATTTACCAAAATTCTAACTGCTTTCTTTTAAATTTATTAAAAAATCATTTTTTTTTAAATTATTTGTTTATCGCAAAGTCTACCTTTGCCAGAGTACATTTGTACACCGATTTTTATTGATTGCAGTTTCTTGTTCGGGACCCTTGGGTTACTTTAAAATGATATTTACCAAAATCCTAGCTGCTCCTCTTTTCAAAATTTTTTTAAAATTTTTGTTTAAATTACCTTTTACAGAGTATACATTTGTACACCGATTTTTATAATATTGGAGTATATTGTTAACGAGAATTGGAGAATACTGTTTTCATACTGAGCACATCATTTAATTTATACAGGGTTTATATAGTAAAAAGCATAATGCACAAAAAAGATTTATCACCAAAAAATGTTATTTTATTTAATTTTATTCAAAATCAATTTTTCTTATAAAGTCTTCATAAGAATCCCATTTTGTAGCCTGATAAACATAAAAATATCTTAAAAAACATGGGTGGGTATATATCTTTTTTGCGTGTTATTTATTAAAAGAAGCGATTTTTGGCTAAAATTATGTGCACAGTATAAAAAAGTATTCTCCAAATATCCTTAACAATATACTCCAATATTATAAAAATCGGTGTACAAATGTGTACTCTGTCAAAGGTAGACTTTAAGATAAACAAAAATTTAAAAAAAAATCATGAATTTTCAAAAAATTTCGAAAAGAGGAGCAGCTAGGATTTTGGTAAATATCATTTTTAAGTCACAAAAGGGTCCCGAACAAGAAACTGCAATCAGTTTTTGGCGGCATTTTTATGTGACGTAAACTTCGTTCAGGCACACCGTGGTTATATATGTTCCAAATGAAGTAATCAAAAAAAAGTTGCCACACTATTTTAAATTTTGCTTAAACTTTGTGATAATGTTCTTTAGGGTCCCAAAGATAAAAATCCGCGGTGATTTAATTTTTAGGATGACTCATAGTGTTAATACAATATAATACAAGATTTTCCAAAAATACCATATCCAGTAAAAATAATTTTGAGTACCTAATGATAAATAGTTTTTTCTACTCCTATTACGAAATTTTACCGTTCTAATATCATTTTTATCCATGGAACGACATAAATTCCGTAAAGTGTTACAGAATGAAATATTTTATCAGATGACAGAATAAACACTCCTGGCGACATCTCTGTTTTTAATATCTAACAAATTTTAGACCGATCCAACCTCACTTTCTTCCAGTTAAATTATTTTCCTACGGTATTTTTTGGAAAAGTAGAAAAAGTATAGTCTGAAACGCGTTTGGAATTGCATATTTCACTCTCGTTAAACCGTCAAACTCGAGCGGAATATGCTGTATTCCGGAATACAGCATATACCGGCCGAGTTTGACGGTTTCACGAGAGCGAAATAATAATAGTATATTCTGTAACAAGTTTGGCCAAACTTGTTACAGAATATACTATTATTACATATTCAAATGGCTTTTTCTCATCAATAAAGAAATCTTGCCATTATGTATTTTATATTTCAAAAATGTCTGTTCAGGAAGTTATATACAAATTGTATCATAAAGGGTGGGCCATCTATAAGTTGAATTTTAAACTACGTGCTATTAATGAAGCTTTCAACTTAAGCTCCATGAATTGTTGACAGTGGTTTAGTTTTAAGCTTCCGATTACAAAATATGAACCGAATAAATTTGGATCAACGTTTCGAAATACTCAAAACTTACTTTGAATTTGACTGTGATCGCAGAGACAGCAATAAAATTGCGTTTGGAAGAAATGAGGCGCCGTCAAACCAAAGTATTACAAATTTGATCAAAAAATTGCGCAGAAATGGAATGCTGGTGGACATAAAACATGTTTCGCATGCTCGTCCTAGACGTACACCTGAAGCAATCGCTGCTGTGGCCGAAAATGTACACATGAACGCGTCAACATCAACTCGGTGCAGATGTCAACAACTCGGCCTTTCCCGTACCACTCTGGTATTCTGCACAAAGACCTCGGTATGTTTGCGTACAAAGTCCAGCTTGTTCAGGAGTTAAAGCAAGTTGACCATCCACAACGTTTTCGCTTTGCTGAGTGGGCTTTAAACCAGTTGAACGATGACCCTAATTTTGCAAGAAAAATCATCTTTTCGGATAAGGCGCATTTTTACCTCGGAGGTTATGTCAACAAGCAAAACTGTAAAATTGGGGCACGGAAAATCCACACGTCGCCGTAACAAAGCCTATTCACCATTTAAAACAAAACATTCAAGCTCAAATTGCCTAAATAGAGCAGCAAACTTTTGACAAAGTGCTCGAAAATTGGTGTTCCAGGATGGGCTACTGCCGAGCCAGCTGAGGTGGCCACTTAAATAAAATCATTTTCCATACTTAATCGGAAGAGACATTGTATCAAATAAAGCAAAATTCGTTGAAAAAAAATCAGTTTTTCTTGTTCTCATTTCTATTTTATAATTCAACATAAACAGGGTGGGCCACCATTTACAAAAATGTTTCTTACCCAGTGGCACAAACAGACCCATCGACTTGAAAGGAAATGCAGTAAACTGGTTTAACATGCCCCTCCTGATGCAACACCTCTGTGCATTGCTGTAAATCCCAAAGCCTCCAAGAGTTGTCAAAACAACATGTCCCAAGAAACCGTCCAGATGGGTGGAATCCTAATCGGGACACCCTGTGAGGCATATGGCCCTCAATGTCAGCTATAGGTTCCTCACTGGAATAAATAAAGCAGCTTAGTTTTGCATTTGAGAAACAAGATTTTAACCAATATTACCTTTTAAAATCCCATAATTTTACTGAACCATCTGAAGCACAGGAAGCCATATTGCAAATATTGTCTTCTTGGCTAATTGTTGCCTTGGGATGAAAAATAATCGAACTTACATTACATGTATGACCTTTTAGAGTTTGTTTTAGTTCACAATCAGGTACCGACCATAACTTACATAACCCAGTCCTAAAAAAATCCAACAAAAACAAGGGTCTTAATTTTACCAAGAAAAATTGTTTCCTAACTTTTTCACATAAAATTTATCAATATTACTTTTACACAGATTTTTGTTACAAACCAGGATTGAAAAAAACATGATTCTTTTTAAACAAAAACGGTGTTTCTTATTTAAAAGTGTTTTTTATGTTTACAACAGTCTTTTGGAGATGTTTTTTATGGTTACGTTTGAAACATTTGACTATAAACTAAACCAAAAAAACAATATTTTTAGTTAGTTTTAATATTGAAAAAATTTTATTCTTTGTTTTGAAGCACTTTTTTTAAAGTGTTAAAAACGTTTGTTTAAAACATGCTAACCCGGCCCTAAATGGACTCTAAATAACCATAACTTATGTTTTTTAATTGAAATGATATATTTATTGTAGCACTATTGAACTTGTCATAAATATCTCTTTAATTTTTAAACACAGTTTTAAACGTCTTGTTTAAAACATTTTCTTTTAAACATGCCAACCCTGTTACAAACCAACAAAAAGTACAAAGTGGTCTAGTTTTTTTAATTTAATTTTCTTTCAGGCAGTTATGTGAAACTCGTCGAAATGGTCTGAATTTTTGTAAAATTACACTGTGCTACAAATACAAATTATTAACCAAAAATTGTACACCCAATATCAGAAATTGATCCCCCAAGGGGTTTTGCTAGCTTAGCTCAATTAAGCTATAAACATTGTCCTATGATTGGGTTGCCAATAGGAAAAACTTTTAGTAATCGGTCATTACTCTTGCTAAATATTCAAATATTATCAATTTAAATTGGCTACATAACATTTTTCTGTTAAATATTTAAATTAAATAATAAACCAATAATTTCTGAGCACACTGTACCTACATTCAATTTTTTATGGGAATCTCATTTTTTAAAGAAGCAGGAGAATTTGTGAGGAATTTTCCTTTATTATTGCTTTATTATTTAATTTAAATACTTAATAGAAAAATGTTATTTTTCAGAGCTCCAATGAAGTTATAGAAAAACTTGATTTTATTGCACCATTTTCTAGTTTTGAAAAAGTAACAATGACAACATTAAAGAAAATTCTTAAAGGACTAAAAAATACTTCAGATGTTAATGATGGCATAACTACAAAAATATTAAAAGATGTTTGTTCAGTAGGAGCAAACCGACTTCTAGATATTATTAACACATCACTTCAAGAAGGAGAATTTCCCGAATATTGGAAAACATCGTGTATAATACCAGTCCCAAAGGTTGCAGGTACAAATCTTCCAGAAGAGCTAAGACCCATAAACATGGTACCTCCATATGAAAAAGTATTAGAATTATGTGTTAAAGACCAACTTGCCAAATATTGTGATGAAAATAATGTTATTGTACAACATCAGTCAGGATTTAGAAAAAAACACTCTTGTGAAGCTGTAATAATAAATAACTGTGATAACTGGTTGAAAATCTTGGACAGAGGTAGAATAATTTTGTGTGTTTTTTTAGACTTTAAACGTGCCTTTGAAACAATTGATCGTGATATATTAATACAAAAGTTGCATAAAATTGGTATCTGTGATAAAACTTTAAGATGGTTTCAATCATACTTAAATAAAAGGACGCAAGTGGTAAAGATTGGTAATGTTTTGTCTAGTAAACTTCAAAGTAAATATGGTGTCCCACAAGGAACAGTTTTAGGGCCTTTATTATTTATATTATATATAAATGATATTGTAAAATGTGTAAAAAAATCTGACATTTCATTGTTTGCAGATGACACAATGTTATATATATCTGGTGATAATGTGAACGATTTAATCGATGTAATGAATGTTGAACTTAATAATATTTTTGTTTGGCTTTGTAGCAACAATATGTGCTTAAATGTTGATAAATCAAAATATGTTATTATGGGTTGTAGTCATAAATTAGGTAATTTAAATTTAAATGTAAATAAAAAACTTTACATTAATGGATCTGAACTCCAAAGAGTAGATAGCTTTAAATATTTGGGTGTAATGTTAGACAAAAACTTAAATTTTAAAAACCACATAGATTATATTATGAATAAAATAGCTAAGAAAATATATTTTTTAAGTAGAGTAGGTAAGAGTTTATCAATGTATGTAAAGTTATTAATATATAAATCCATAATAGCCCCCCATTTTAATTTCTGTTCAAGTATTATGTTTGAAATAAATCAAAATGAAAATCAAAAGCTACAGAAGTTACAAAATAAGGCAATGCGTATAATTCTAAAATGTAATCGTTACACACCCATTAATGTTATGTTAGATACTTTAAGTTTATTGAATGTCAAACAATGTATTGTGTTTAATTCTATGTTATTTATTTATAAACTAAAAATTGGAGCTTTACCAGATTATTTAAACAATAGACTGGTCAGGGTAGAGAGTATTCATGAGCATCAAACAAGAAATGCTCAAAACTTTTATATAGAAAAATATAATCGAGTCCAGACTACTAAAAATATTTTTGTTAATGGGCTAAACATGTTCAATAATCTGCCAAATAATGTTAAAAACTGTGATAAAATAAATAGGTTTAAGTCTTTATTGCTGAGTTACATACACAGTCATATTTATTAATTGTTTATATTTTTATATGTTTTGTAAAATAGCTTATGCTAAATAAAGATTATTATTATTATTATTTAAATTGATGATATTTTTAAATATTTAGCATTTTACCAACCCACATTACCAATCTTGTAAAACAAAAATAACTACATAGTGCATAAGAAACTTGCGTCTATATCCCAAACCTATTCCCTGTCAAATGCGTTCCGTAGTTTGTCACTGTCAAGTGTTTCTTTAACAAATTTCAAAGTAAAAAGTTATGCAGGTACACTGCATTGTGCCATACCAAACTAACTAAAACTTAACAACCCAACCCAACCGACCCCGCCCCATTCGGCCCCTCCCACCCCATTGACAATGGGGCGGGAGGGGCCCAATGGGGCGGGGTCGGTTGGGTTGGGTTGTTAAGTTTTAGTTAGTTTGGTATGGCACAATGCAGTGTACCTGCATCATCAAAATGACAGGGAATAGGTTTGGGATATAGACGTCATAGTCATAAGAATTATGTCATCCACTTTCAATCAAATATGACAACCCCAATATTACAAAAACAGGTTTAAAATAGTAAAATTTAAAAAAAAAAATTTAGGTAAATTAGGTAAAATAAAATCAGGCTTACAACGGATTTTATTCCATTACACCTAAAGTTATAAATCATAACTTATGATTAGCATAGACAAATAGGTAATAAAGCCTCAAGCCTCATTCAGAACCTCGTAATTAGTGGAATAAATTAGTGGTTTCAATTAACGTAAAAGTTTGTCTTATGAATATACACAGTGTTGTTCACAACCAAAAAATTAGTGGTAGTGGCAGTACTTTTCAATTAGTGGAAAAAAACTAACTAACTTTTACCACTAATTATAATTGGAAAGCGGCTTTGCGCATGTGCGCGGATATTTTATGTTAAAAGGGAACATTTTAAAGGTTTGCCAGTGAAAGTAAGGTTACATAAATATTATATTATATTATTGTAATGGTTGTACAAAATATTATTTTAATATATTTATGTCTGGTTAAGAAAAATTGACAATCTTTTAGCAAATTCCCTTAATTTTAGATGTTAATTTTGCGCATTGTGAATGATCGTTTTGTGTTAATTATAAGTATAATTGAAACCACTAATTTTTTCCACTAATTACGAGGTTCTGAATAAAGCTTCATTATAATTAACACAAAACGATCATTCACAATGCGCAAAATTAACATCTAAAAGTAAGGGAATTTGCTAAAAGAATGTCCATGTTTCTTAACCTGACATAAACAATATTAATTATATTAAAATAATATTTTGTACATCCATTACAATAACGCTGTGACTAGGGGCACGCTAACGTGCCCCGATTCGAAATGTTAAGGGCACGTTAGTTACGTCATAAAACCAAACCAACCCAAACTCAACAACACAACCCAACCGACCCCGCCCCATTGCCCCCCCCCCCTTTGAGCAAAAAACCCAACTAAAATGGACAAATTTATGTTACGATAAAAATTAAACACTTTTAAACAAAGGAACAACAAATTTATGAAATAAAAAAATAAAAAGAGTTCGACAACTTCTAGTAGATTCTATGTTACAATATAACCAAAACAAACCAACCGAACACTTTTTAACATAAAAGCAACAAATTTATGAAATAAAAAAATATACAAATTTCGACAACTTCTGAGTATCAAACCCGGTACCTCTCGCATGCCAAGCAACCGCCCTACCATCTAAACTATCTAGCTTGACAACAAATATTATAAGTTTGAGGAACAAAACCGGATTATTACTATGACGTAACTAACGTGCCTGTAACATTTTGAATCGGGGCACGTTAGCGTGCCCCTAGTCACTTTGTTACAATAATATTTATATAACCTTACCTTCACTGGCAAATCTTCAAACTTTTTGCTTTTGACATAAAATTTCCGCGCACATGCGCAAAGCCGCTTTCCAATTATAATTAGTGGTAAAAGTTAGAAGTTTGCAAACTTCCACTAATTGAAAAGTACTACAACTAATTTTTACTGTGTATATTCATAAGACAAACTTTTACGTTAATTGAAACCACTAATTTGTTCCACTAATTAAGAGGTTCTGAATGAGGCTTAACACTTAAATCCCAACAGTTGAAGGTAATTGTTTAACAACTTTTGAATGACAATTTTTGCGGTAGCGCTAATAAAAAAATATATTCAACCGTAAAATAATCGGTTATTACTCTTTAAATATGCAAAATATGAAAAAAATAAAAAGTATACAAATTATCTGTTTTTTTTTTTATAAAGGGCCATTCCACGTTAAGTACTCGGCAATTTTTGTAGCGTCCGTAATAATAAAAAATTGTGAGTAAAAGCTACCGTAATTAAATTAAATACTATTGCATGCAATAGTTACTATTGCAAACATGTTTATTATGCTTGTAATAATTAAGCTTAAGCTTATAAGCATAATAATGATTGTAGTTTTTACTCACAAGTTTTGATTATGGCCTCTAAAAAATTGCCAAACCTGGAATGGCTGTAAAATAAAAAATATGGCTGTTGTCTGCAAATTAACCTGCATCAAGCTGCAAGGGGTCGAAAAATCTGTTTAACAAATTAAATATTTACCATGAAGCAGTTACTAAAAACTTTGAGTTTGGACTAAACTGACAATATGAAATTGGCCTTGTATCCCCAATTTGACTTGAGTAAATTGACATATTTTGCAACTTCTTTTGTAGCTCTTGCATTTTTGCTGTTTTAGTTGCAGTTGGTAAATCCGACAGCCGCCTGGCTTCCTCCAAACGTTCCTTTACTCTTGGCAAAGAATAATGTGCAATCCATAACCTTGCTGTTCTAAGACTTTCTGGACCTTCATGATACCAAGTTTGTTCTTGGTCTTTTTCAAAGAGCCTCTTTTCCTCTTCTGCCTCTCTTCTGATCACCGCATCTTCACCAGTTCTAAAATTATGAGTAACATGTTAAACATGTTTAAAATCTATAAAATGTATAATTACTTGCTAAGAATTTCTCTTAATCTACTTCGGCGATCAGCAGGTCCTTCTCCAAATAGGCATATGGGTTCACCTATATGCCTGAGATTTCTTTTTACTTCTGCATCATCTGTTGAAACATTAATAGACCTAGCTTTTCTTCGTCTTTCAAATTCCTCCAGTAAAGCTTGTTTATCCCTAGACATTGCATCTTCGAGTTCCATATACTCTAGAATTAAAATTATAATCACATTTATTCTGCCTATGTACTTTATTCTAAGAAAACTTTACCGCTTGTTTCTGCATTTTGTGTTTGAATTGGAACATTATCGTTACTATTATCGTCCTCGGCTTCTAACCTAACTCTTTCCGAATCTTCCAAAGAACCGTAATGAATAGTTTTTTGCTTTTTCACAAACTGAACTTCATCTTCATCGGACATTTCGATTAAAATAAATTGATCCAAATATCACCGCAAAAATTCTCACGTTTGTTTACTATTTTGACAGAAAAATGACAGCCTAAAAATATAAGGTTAATTGCCAACCTAACAAACATTACTTCTTCTTCTTCTTCTTTAACAATTTATTTTCTCCACAGAGTAGGTATATGGAGAAAATTGGTCTTGAGTCTTCTTGACTCTTACTGACCAGCCACGAGTGTTCTATTGTGTCTGTTGTGCTTTGTTTCTTTTGGTAATGATGTATCTTCTTTGTAAGTCGGTAAGGTAAAACAAAACAAACAAAGGATGGTCGCCCCAGGAGGATCCCAGGATGCTAATCATATCATATCTTTAAGTTAGATTTTTTAATAAATTTAAATATATAGCTATAGGATTCTACAAGCGGACATGCAAGTATAGATTTAATATTAAAAGGCATATGGTGTCCTATGGATAGCAAGCAGTTAATTAGCAAATTAATATTAGCTCTGTTATTATTACATTCAAAGAAGAGATGATCTAGATCGCCAAATTTTCCACATGAACATAGTGGGTCGTCTTTTACTCCTATTCTACAGAGGTGTGCAGGATAGGAACAATGACCCACTCTGACTCTGCTTATTGTTGTAATATATTCTCTGTTTGTAAAATTTATGTTGTAAAACCATGGAATTTTCCAGGATTTGTTTTCCAGGAAAGCATAGTTCTTCCCCTTATACACTGACGATTCTTTCCAATGTTTATGCCAGCTATTATACAATAATTTTTTTGAGGCTTTGAAAAATTCTGAGGAAGGGATTTTATATTTTTCTGTGTTTTTGTTTGCTGCTTCTTTGGCTATAGCATCTGCCCTTTCATTTCCCGTAATCCCTGAGTGACCGGGGATCCAACATAGAGCCCCTTTTCCCCCATAATCTTTAATATTGTTGTATAGCTGGTTAATACTTAAAGAAATGTTGTTAGATTTTCCGTTCCATGGATTATTTTTTATCTGTCTAAGTACGCTCAGAGAGTCTGAGAAAATAATAAATTTTTTTAGTTTATCTTTTAAACAAATTTTTAACGCAAAAAAAATTGCCATCTGTTCTGCAAGAAAGATAGAGGCAAAGTGGGTTATTTTAAATGATTTTTCAATTTTTAAGGAAGGAATATATATGCCAAAAGAAGTGCTATTTAAATTTTTTTGGAAAGAACCGTCAGTGTATATATGAACGCAATCTGCCCAATCTGAAGCCAATCTAATATTGAATAATTTATTTATTATTAGTGGGTCTGTACTTTTATCAGCGCCCCAATCCAAGATTACGGGGATTTTGGATATTTGAGTGAAGTAATCAAAGCAAAATATGGGTATTCTAATAGTTGTGGAAAGCATGTCAATCTTATCCTCATATGTCTCCAATGATTTAAATAAACAATGTTTTTTAAAATATTTTGATTTGATATTTTTAAGGACTTTGTCTCTAATTTTAAGAAGCTCCGTGATAACAGGATCATTTTCCCTACTTAGCCTTTTTAGTAAAAATTTATCCGATAGAAATTGCCTTCTTAGATTTAGCGGAGGGTCTCCAGCTTCAATTTGGAGGGAATTGGTGGGAGAGGACTTCATCAATCCCAGACATGTTCTCAGAGCCAAATATTGAATCCTATCTAATTTTGCTAAAAGATCTTTTCTGCATGAGTTGAACAGGAAACACCCATATTCCATTCTGGATCTTATCAGTCCCCTGTACATTGTCAGTAATGTTTTCGGGTCTCCACCCCAAGATACCCTAGTCAAACTTTTTATTGTATTTAGAATTCTGGTGCAGGTGTCACTTAATTTATTTATGTGAGTTGACCAACTAAGATCATTCTCAAGATACATCCCCAGGAACTTGTATGCTTTTACGAACTCTATCTGGCATTCATTTATTCTGATAGTTGGAGAAGGAATTTTTGATTTTGAAAAGAGGATTGCTTTAGACTTTTCCGGACTCAATGATAGACCCAACTCCATTAGCCATATATTTAGAGCTTCCAATGAATAGTTAATGTAGAATTTAGAGAGAGAAGTATCATTATTACTAGTATATATTACAATGTCATCAGCATATTGGAGAATTTTGCACTTTATATTAATGGGGGAGTCTATTCCTCTGGTATATATATTAAATAAGGTGGGGCTAAGAACCGACCCTTGAGGGAGGCCCTTATATGAAACTCTCTTTATTCTAGTGCCATCATTGTTAGTTACAAATATAGTTTTTTTAAAAGTAAGAGTCCATATAAGTTTCACAAAATTTGGGGGAAGATCCAGATCATTTAGTGTTTCAACCAACTTATCAGGGAGGACGTTGTCATAGGCTGATGATATATCTAAGAATATTGCCAAGGTATGGGATTTCTTATCAAGAAAGCTCGACAGAATATCTGTTGTAAGGATGGAGATGTTGTCCATGGTACTGAGTGATTTCCTAAATCCGAATTGAAAAACCGGAATAAGTCCGCGGCTCTCCACCCACCATTCCAATCTATCCCTGATCACATGTTCAAATAATTTACGAACACATGATGATAGGGCGATCGGGCGATAGCTAGAGAACTCTCCGGGATCCTTACCCTGCTTTAAAATTGGGATAATGTTAAATTCACTCCAGTCCTCTGGAACTTGACAAGAGCCGTTCAGAATATTATTAAAAAAATTTAGTAAGTACATTTTCGCAGATAATGGCAAGTGATTCAGCATGCTGAAGGAAATTTGATCAGGACCCGGGGATGTATCCCTCACCCTAAGCAAAATTCTAGAGAGTTCATCCAGGGTTATTGGTTTAAGGATATAATCATTTGAAGAATTATTACTGAAATTCGGGATATTGTGACAGTATGGGGGCGCCAACATGTCAATAAATTTTTCTTTCCATGAATCGTCATTGTTGACAAACGAGTTTTGCCTATTCATTGCTTTGTTATAAATCTTAATGGTCCTCCATACTTTAGCTATATCACTTTTTCTGTTTAAACTGGAAGCAAACGTGACAAAAGAATCTGTTTTTTTCTTTTTTAGGGATCTTTTTACTTTAGCTGAGATCTTTTTAAATTCCAGAAAGTGAGATAGCAAGCCTGATGAAGAGAAAGCTTTAAGAGCTTCTCTTCTTTTTTTGATCAAAAGTGAGCATTCTTGATCCCACCAGGGGCACATATTTTCATTTTCAAAATAGGATTTTACCGGGATGTGTTTATCAGATGAGTCCTGCAATAACTTTTTAAAATTGTCGTAGTTCATGGATTTGAGAGCATTTTCTACGAGTGAAACTGAATTCTCAAAATCGGTCCAATTGGCTTTTTTGAAATTTTTTTTATTAGTTCTAATAGGGATCCTTTTTTTAGTTTTAGTTTTGTCATTAGTACTATAGGAGACACACAGAGGAAAGTGGTCGCTACCATAGTTATCCATTAAGGTAAGTTCGGAACAATTTATTAGTAAATCGTCGGAGCATATGGAAAGGTCTATTACACTTTTATTTGATGGATTTACCATTGTTGGTTTAGAATCATTGAGTACACTGATGTCATTTTGTTCTAGGTATCTCCTAAGGGCATTACCATTGGCATTACATTTATAACTTCCCCATAATGTATGGTGGCAGTTTAAATCTCCTAATAGTATAAAAGGGCTGTCCATATTTTTAAAAACCTTGTTCCAAAACTCATAATTGGATGAGAAATTCGGGGGAATGTATAAGGAACCTATGTTTATATTTTTGATTTTGACTATGACCAATTGAACCGATTCTGGAATGGGAAATTTAAGATTTATTTGATTAAAGTGAATATGTCTCTTTACGAGGAGAGCTGCCCCCCCCTTACCATCTTCCCGTTTTGATGTGACAGAATTATATTTTTTTAAATTGATTCTTTGTTCCTTTTTTAACCATATTTCTGAGAGGGATATTATATCCGGATCTTGGTCTCTGATAAGAAGTTGCAGATTGTGTTTGTTATTAAAATAGCTATGTATATTCCAATGGAATATATTTAAATTGTACATAATTCCTTGTTGATTTAACTTTTGTTAATAGTCTGAGTGACCTGTGGTAAGTGACGATTAACAAGATCTAAAATGGTTTCTGGATAATTTTTTACAAAATATATAAATAGCTCAGAGAATTTTACATTGTCTGGTATTGACTCTGAAGGGGAGGATGGGTTGGAACGAGTTGCTGATAGCCCATCAGTGCATGGCCTTTTGGCCGGTGTTACTTGAACCCTACCACTTTGGTTTAAATATAATTCTTCAGCGTACTGTGATGGACGATTGGGAAGAAGCCGAGGACTCTTATGAAGAAATTTAGTGAATTTTTGGCTTTTGTGGGGGGATAGGTTAAATTCCACTGAATTTTTTGATAATTGAGGAAAGTCATTGGCAAAGGTATTAGGATTCTGACTATTTTTAGTAGGAGTTTTAGGCTGGAGTTCTTTATAGCTTTGAGAGGCTTCATAGAAAGATAGGTTGTAAAGTGACATAGTTTCCTTAATTTTCTTTTGCCTAATAAACTCTGGACATATACGATTTTTAAAAAGAGTGCCCTTTTCGGTTGACGAATGAGGGTTTTTACAAAACAGACATTTAATTTGACAGGACGAATGATCAGTATCATCATTTTTTTCTATCCCACATCTGTCACATCTTGCCTTGCCCTTGCATTGAGAAAGGGTGTGCCCAAATCTCAGACAAGAAAAGCATTGTATGACTGGATCGATGTATCTTTCGGTTGATAATGCGCAATAATAGAGTTCCACCTTTTGTGGGATATGTTTACCTTGACATGTTAAAACAATTAATGGAGTGTTTAACAACTCCTCTTTGTTTTCTTTGGATTTTTTTTTAATTCTTCTTACCTCTATTATTCTCGATGCCCTACCTAGTGTTTTAATGTTTTTAAGAATATCCTCGTCTGAGAAATCAGGGTCCACCCCTCTCACAAGAGCTTTGGATGTGACCAGGTGTTTAGGAATGTAGGCTTTAAGATTGTAATTTTCTAAAAATTCTTTATTTTGAATAAATTCATTGGCTCTATTAAATTTTTTAAATTGAATGGCTACTCTATTTTTACCTCGTCTAAAAACTTGATTTACTTCAAATGAACTTTTTTGGGATAGTATTTTACCAATTTTCTGATAATTAAGGTTAGCTTCATTTAACGATTCAATATTTACAATATATGGCCCTGCGTCGTAAATTGTATACATGATTTCAAGGTTATTCTTTATAGTGTTTTTTGTGACATTTTTTATCTGAGATTCTGTTTCCATTATTTCAGGATTATTAAGTTTTATGTTGGAATGAACCTGAATTTCATTGCTAAGATTTACTTTTGTCCCATTGTCCGCAATCCAAAATCCCCTATTTACTAGGGAGTTAACCTCATTTTTTATGTCTTCATTACAGTCTAATTGTGAAAGAAAGTCTCTATCCATTAAGGATGGAATCGAGTTCATTTGTGATAGTTCAACTAAGCATTTTACAGCATCTTGTGTGCTGGGCGATTTGGAGAGTAGATCACCTATTCCTTTAATATTATAAACTCTACCACCCCCCGCGTCAGGAGGTGGCGTGCCTTGACCACTCATGGTCAAGGCCAAAAAAATTATTTATGTAAATAATTTTTATTAGATATATGATGATAGCAGACAGGAAAGCAAAGCATAAAAGGGAAAATGACTTACTTTTATTTTCTTTTCTCTATACTGCAGGAGCAGAAACACACAACCTTACACACTCGTGGTCTAAAACCGAATCAAAACAAACATTACATTCACAGAACAAATTTTGTTCAAGCCATGGAGCCTACATAAGGAGCCCGAACTTAATAGGGAAAATTGACAAAACCTGTCCACTAAATTGCACAAATTAAGTCTTTTTTTTCATTACCAGCAGCGCTGATTGTCGATGCGTCCGTATGACGTGAAAATAGTATCGAAAATACATGTGAAGTAAGCAAGTAAGTTTTGACAATCGATTTGCAATAATGTTTTGAGTCAAAACTTTTGACGTACGAATCGTTTTGTTATTTATGGCTGTACCTGGTAGGTAGATGCTATTGAATAGGTTGTCGTTGTGAATTACAAGTGACTCTGGAGAAGCAAAATTAGATTTTCAGGTTAGAAAAAATAAGTAAACAGCATATTTAATAATTTCCACCTTTATTTGTTTATATTGAACTTTTATTTAAGCCATCTACCTAAAAATACTAAAAATCTACTAAAAATAAATTAATACCATATAGATTTAATATTCTGTTAGTTTTACACGCTTTAACACCACACGACATTCTTTTATAGAAAACACGTATTTATAAAAAACTGTACTATGCTCTACATCAGAAAATCCAACATGAATTCCAATGTTAAATTTGATATAAATTTATTGTAAATTAACTTAATTTAATTAAGACATTTATACACAAAACCAGGTATAGTGGTATTAATATCTCATGGCGGGTGAACTTGAGCGCGCAAACGTCACAAATCCGTCAAATCGCGCTATTACTCGCCGTCCTAAAAACATACTACCCCAGGGCAGGGTTGGGTCAGTAGAAAACCTTAGGTAAATTACCTTGGTAGAAAAGGGTAGAAAACTTGTTTTCGACTTGCGTCGAAAACCTATAGGGTTTTCTACCTACGTAAATTACCTTATTCGACCTTCTCCTTCCACTTCTCTAAATTTGCCCTCATGCCAAAAATTATGTTGGGGTCTCCCAACCAAACGTGGCCCTTTTTTTCCCACCATAATAATGTTAAAAAACTCCAAATAACTTCAAATTTATGGTAGGTGTCTGATTTTTCACAACATTTAACAAATCATAATAAACAACAAACTTGCATAACCTCACATTTTTTGATATTTGACAGTATTCTACTTTTTTACGTTTTCTACCGTCGAAAACGTCGAAAAAGGTTTTCTACATGTCGAAAACAAAAATGTAGGTAGATACCCAACCCTGCCCCAGGGTTGGCAATGCTAGCATCAGCTGATATTTATTGACATATTTAAACATATTTAGTGACAAGAGTCCTTGGGAGGAAAATATGGGGCTCACAGCACAAAATTAAGCTGATCAGTGCCAAAAGTCCAAAATCTACATTAGATTTGTGAAGATGCAATAAGTTCCCACAAAGGATGGTCGAAATATTAAAAGATTGAATAGTCATGTGCAAACCGCCATGTAGTGCATCGTGGGTTTTTTTTGCTATTTTTTTTTGCCCTCTATTTTTTTGTATGACTTCCGCTGCGTGTATCGTGATTAGTTTATGTTTGAGACATTAGTGTATTAGTGAAATAAGAATGACTTTAAATTATAAGTGTACCGATAAGTTTTGTTAAGCTCGAACCGTAATGCTATAATAAAAAAATGTTTTATGAACTATTCGTAACTTCCGCTGCTAATATCGTGATTTTGTATGTGTAAAAGTGTAATAAAAGTGACTTTCGCTGCTGATATAAGCTTTATTGAATAAACTCTAAAAAAGACAAAAATGATAGTGATGGACATAAGTGAATAAAAAGACTATAAGTGAAAAAATAATCTAGAAGTGACATAAATAATAATAATTAATAAACTATAAAACCAAGAAGAAAAGGAGAAGCTATAGGTTATCCTAGACTCGCTTTTTCCAGTATAATAATAATAAAATACAGCTGGCTAAATCCCGAAAGGGAAAGGCCAATCAAACCAAAGAAGAAGAAGAAGAAGAAACATATTTATAGGCTAGAAATTCTATTATATTTGTTATATCATATTTGTCATATCATATTTGTTATAACTAATATTATATTTGTTATATTTGTTCTATTATTATATTTGTTATACGAAATGAATAACGGCAAAAAAGAAGTCATTCACATCCAAGGGCGGCAGATCGTCTACAACGTTCTCCATTATTTGAAACGCGAGTTGAAACGTGAAGTCCAATTCTCTTGAAAGAAAGAATAAAAAAAAATTATAGAAGAAAAATGTTGCATATTTTTAAAATATGTAAGCGTTTTGTCTGAAATAAAGCACATTTAGAAGTTTTAGAACTTATTCATAATATGATATATACCTACTTGTATTAGCAGTAAATCAACATATTTTGCCATACACAAGAAAAATATGAAATAAAAACCTTTAGGTACATTTTTATAGCAAAATCGGATTCTACACAGATTCTATTCTTTTTTTTTACTGAAATCCATTATATATTTTACAGATCATTGCTCAACATTTGAAGACCTTGCTTCAAAATGGGGGTAACTTTTACAAAAGTGACTTTTACACCCTTACAACTGTGAACTAGACTATTCTGCATTGTTTAATGCAAATATGACTCAAAAATAACTTTTATGGAGTTAGCTCCTTTTTGCAGCAGGGTCTTCAATTGCAGTCATTATCTAATGTTACAATATATTTCATAAAATAAAGAAAAAAACGCTTTACTATATTAGTTAGACAGATGACAGATTTGGGAAGCATCCATAGACATTTAAGTTAACTTAAAGGTCTATGGAAGTGGCGGATGTTTTTAGTTTCCATTTATTTATTAAATTGAATGGCGTCTGTCAGCGTCTTTCAAGGTCACCCGCCATGAGATATTAATACCACTATACATGGGTACATTGTTTTCAGAAAGCGATAAACTGACAGTTGCATAACCTCAATTATTTGCACAATAATAAGTGGTAGGTAGTGGCGCCATCTCTGGTTATACCCCTCTACTGTTTTGGGCCGGTAGTACACCAGCGCCCTCTTATCTTAGGAAGATTCTTGTTTACATGAAGTTCCTCCTTGTGTAGGCTCCATGGGGAAACCTTTGAATAATCACAGTGACTAGAGGCACGCTAACGTGCCGCGATTCGAAATGTTTAAGGCACGTTAGTTACGTCATAATAATAATCCGTTTTTGTTCCCCGAGCGTTATAAAATTGATGTCAAGCTAGATAGCTCAGATGGTAGGGCAGTCGCTTGGCATGCGAGACGTACCGGGTTCGAAACTCAGAAGTTGTCGAACTTTTTTTATTTTTTTATTTCATAAATTTGTTGTTCCTTTGTTAAAAAGTGTTGGGTTGATTGGTTTGTTTTAGTTTTATCGTAACATAAAATCTTAAAATTATGACGTAACTAACATTTTGAATCGCGACACGTTAGCGTGCCTCTAGTCACAGCATCATGAGTCATGATGCCCGATGCCCTGCGCGTCATGATTCATGACGCGCTGGTCATCGGGCATCATGACGAGCAGGGCGGAAAATTCAACTTTCGGCCCTTGTAGTTTATTAAATTATTTTCTAAAAAAACTGAAATCGATAATTCGGATTATTTACACAGAAAAAAATATCGTACCTGATATTAATGTCCTACGATCATTAAGTGCAAAATCATTACGATAATGTCCTTTTCATAGTATTAATGCAATCAAGTAATTATGATAATGCTTAAAAAATATGAGTTAATGTATTATTGGATTGTCACAATGTCTGCCTGGTCATTATCCTAGTGCAAGAATTTTATTATTTTTTAGCCAAAATACATTAAGACAATGATATTTTACATTAATACGATGATTATTTACATTAAATCAATAACCTAGAGTACATTAGTTAATCATTGCTCAGTGATAAAATTAATGTCAAGGCTTAATAGATTAATACTCTAAATGGTATAATTTAATAATCTAAAATTATTACATTAATGCCTATATAGACATCAACTTATGTACCCTAGCATGAATATAATGCCCTAACACATTAAATAATACAACAAATCATAACTTTATCGCCAAATACGTTGAGCCAATGTCTAAATACATTAATATTAGGCCCTGTTGTTTCCCACCACCTAAAAATGCAAGTAAGAAAACAATTTAACAACAGTTTAGTATTCCTGTTAATCCTGTTGCGACGTGCTTGCCCGCCCATCCCGATTGTTGTGCGTTTAGGTTTATTATTATATGAAATATAAAAAAGTGCAAGTATTTTTAACCTTTATTTCCCAGAAGAATGTGTCATGGTCTGGTCATTTATTGAAACCTTCTTTTTTAAAATGAAGCATTCTAATACAGTTTCCAAAATCTATGTGACTTTTAGAATGTAAGTAAGACAATGTTAAAAAGTTAAGGTTTATTTATGTTTCATAAATTTTTTGTAATAAATATAAGGATTTTAAATTACCAAGGGTTTTTATTATTTTTTTATATTAATCTTTAGTTTCATAATATTTACAAAAAGGACTAGAAATATGTAAAGTTCCAGTTCCAGTTTTGCGGTGACCTGGACATAAACCCTGTAGAAAATGTTTGGGAACTCCTGTAAAGGGAACTGGCTAAAGAGAACATCACCACATAAGTAATATTAATAGTAATAATTATTAATATATTTTTTTACATATTTCTAGCTCTTTTTGTTAACTGATCAACAAAAAAATTGATTTAATGTTAAAACTTAAGGTAAGTGTAATAATTTATATATATATATATATATATATATATATATATATATATATATATATATATATATATATATATATATATATATATATATACATATATATATATATATATATATATATATATATATATATACATATATACAGGGTATCTCAAAAGTTAAGGACAGCAGAAAAGGGGTGGATAGAGGATGGGATTCTAAGTCGAATGGTCTTTGCCGTTTTTCAATCGACTTAAAATTCCATCCTCTATCCACCCCTTTTCTGCTGTCCTTGACTTTTGAGATACCCTGTATATATATATATATATATATATCGATCCATTCCGGTATACCAATCTCGATATATCGATTTATCGATATTTTTCCATCCCTTAATTCAGTCCTACTATTAATGCTTCTTTGCATTATGATAATGCTAACAGATAATTAATTAATGTATACTAGGTGATTGGGATAATGTTCTTTAATTGTTAATTGATTAAAAATTTATTAATTGGTTGATGTTTACTGGGCATAGAATTAATGTACTAGGACATTAATCCATGTTAATGGTCATTAATATCAGTACTTTTATTTGAGATCTTCCTGATTAAAATCAATGTCCGCCAAGCATTAATATTACGTCCTTGTACATTGAGTAATACTTTAAAAGCATTGTGGTAATGATTTTGAGCATCGGAGCAAAATTAATGTAAAAAATCATTGCGTTAATGTTTTTTTTTATTAATATTACGTACGTTTTTCGTTGTGTGTAACTATTTGAATATTCGGATTATTCTAATATATATATATATATAGGATATCCTATTATCCGATTTGGGTTTAGCAAAAATACATGTTTTCCAATATTTAATTCGAATATTTTTCCAGCTCTAGATTAAAATAAATAAAATTTATGATTACTTATGGGCCATTCCACGCTTAACGGATAGGACAGTTGCCGTGTTTTTATTTA